GGTGTGTGCGATGGCTCTGGTGCGTGCGATGGCTCTGGTGGGTATGTGGGATGGCTCTGGTGTTTCCGTAGGCTCGTGTAGCCGGGACGGACTCGGAGCGTTTGACCGGCGCTGGCGTGAGAGAGGCGTGACTTGACTGGAGCATCCGCCTGCCGCCCCGCCGGCAGGTGTCCTCGGTGCCGTGCGAGGCCGAGGAGCTGGACCGCGAGCTGATCTGGGCCCAGCTGCTGAGCTCGCGCGCCGCTGGCTTCCTGATGGGCGCCTCATGCGGCGGCGGCAACATGAAGGTGGTCGACGCAGACTTCAAGAAGATGGGACTGCGGCCTCGGTGAGAGCACGGCCGGCTCCCTGGTTTTACCACTCCAGTGAAGCTGGTGTCAGTTATAGCATGCTATTAGCTTTGTTTGGAAAACACTTGATCGTCGATTCAGATGCTGGTCTCAGTGTGTTTCACGTCCGCTCTGCGAAATCCGATTGAGTGACATTGTGTGCTAGGACTCATCTCAGCGTTGTTATGAAGCCTCAGGGCAATAGATGCCACGTAAATAGACTGCTGATGGCAAGAGATGGCTCACAAGCACGCTGTTTTGCTGGCTAACGTGACGTGGTTTTGTCAGCTGGGCGCCTCTTTGTGAGGTCGTCCGGAGTGGTGCGAATTACCGGGCTTGGCTTCCTTTTTGGCTACTGTACGTGTGACTATCCAGTTCATTCAACGCCCCTCGTTATTCGCCCCTGACGCTTCTCGTTAATCGGTGATCAGGCCAGCTGGCCTTCGCTGTCCGTTCCCCCGCTGTTATCTCACCTGTGCGGGATCTGTGATAAGCCATCGCTTGCCTCAACCGTCCTCTGATAAACCGTCCGCCCCAACCTGTCCGCCTTGTTCATCCTCTGATTTGCCGCCGCCTGGCCTTGGCCATCTTGTGATTGGTCCCTGTTTGCGTTGTGAGCCCCCTGATTGGGCGCCGCCCGCCATGGCTGTGGCCTGACTGGCGGCCGCACCCCCAGCCACGCGTACTCGGTGCTGGACGTGCGGGAGGCGGCCGGCTACCGGCTGCTGCGGCTGCGCAACCCATGGGGCCACTTCTCGTGGTGCGGCGAGTGGAGCGACGCCTCCGCCAGCTGGACGCCCGAGCTGCGCGCCGCCCTGCGCACCAGCGCCGACGGCGACGGCGGCGGCGTCTTCTGGATCAGCTACGACGACCTGCTGAGGTGCGCGGTCGGGGCGGCAGCGGCGGCGGCGCCGTTCGGAGCCAGCGGTCTGTGCGTGGGGAGGAGGGGGCAGGGCAGGGGTATCGGAGGAATTCGGTCGGATGGGTCCAGCAGTGGAGGGTCGGGGTCGGGCCCGGAGATCGATGGACTCGCCCGTGGCTGATGGCGTCTGGGAAGGCTGTGCGTGATTCCTCGTTTGCGGTTATCTGAACAAAGTGCAGGTCAAAAGTGCCAGTAGCATCCACCGATAGCGTGGACACTCGTGCGATCTGTGCCCGGCCTGAGCCGCGCTGGCCATCATCGGCGCCCTGCTTCGCCGCCAGGTACTTCGACTGTATCGACATCTGCAAGGTCCGGCACGACTGGCACGAGGTCCGGCTCACCGGGTGGCTGCCGCCGCTCAGCTCCGCGCGCCACCTGTCGGCCTACCTGCTGACTGTGCCGGAGCCGGCCGAGGTGGAGCTGACGCTGTTCCAGCAGGGGCAGCGCAACTCCAAGAAGGCGGCCCGGCTCCAGCTGGACCTGTGCGTGGCCGTGTTCCGGGCGCCGGCGCGGCCGCCGTACACGCCCGGTGCGCTGGTGCAGCACTCGCGGCGACAGGTGCGTGCGGATGGCCGCAGACTGGTGTCGGCTGCGCCCGCACCCGTCTAGTGCGGCCTGAAGATTCTCGCCCTGTCTCCGGTGCGGCCTGATGATCTCGCCCTGTCTCCGGCGCGGCGTGATGATCTCGCCCTGTCTCCGGTGCGGCGTGATGACCTCGCCCTGTCTCCGACGCGGCGTGATGACCTCGCCCTGTCTCCGACGCGGCGTGATGATCTCGCCCTGTCTCCGACGCGGCGTGATGATCTCGCCCTGTCTCCGGTGCGGCGTGATGACCTTGCCTTGTCTCCGGCGCGGCGTGATGACCTCGCCCTGTCTCTGGTGTGATGACCTCGCCCTGTCTCCGGCGTGATGACCTTACCCTGTCCCCGGCGCGGTGTGATGACCTGGTCTCGCCGTCGCTGCGCAGGTCCGCGGCTTCGTCGGGTGCAACGCCATGCTCGAGCCGGGAAACTACCTGGTCTGCTGCCTGGCGTTCAACCACTGGCAGACGGTTGCGGCCGGCTCCGAGGAGCAGTACCCGCGCCACGTGCTGGCGCTGCACGCCGGCCGCCACCTGGCCGTGGAGCGCGCGCCGGCCGAGCCGCACCAGCTGGCGGATGCTATCGTGCAGCTGACGCTGGCTCGCGGACAGCGACACGAGGTGGGCCAACCGGCACGCAGAGGAGGGGGGGGGGGGGGCGGGGGTAGGCTGGTGCCTGTTCATCGGACGTCGGGTCGAGGCCAGGGGCGAGGCTGGGCACGGCTGGGTCGGAGCTGACAACTGACCCAGAGAGGGCACCCAAGCGACTGCCGCTATATTGTGTCTGGGACGGTGAGGAGCATTCATGGTGCGAGATGGCAGCAATGCCTCGGGGGCAGGCCTTTCTCTAATGCGAGAGTCTGGAACTGAGTGCGATCTCCCAGCATGTGACATCCAACCCAGTCGCCTCTCCTCCTGACCCTGCGCTCGGACTTAAGCCGCGCCGCCGTTGGCCGTGTCCGAAGCTGACCTTGGCCGTTCTCCGCCGGCGGCAGGGCCGCGAGGGAATGACGACCTACTACCTGACCAAGGGCTGGGCCGGCCTGGTGGTCATGGTGGAGAATCGCCACCCGGACCGCCACATCCAGGTGACGTGCGACTGCAGCAACAGCTACAACGTGGTGTCGACGCGGGCCGAGCTGCGCACGGCCGATGCCGTGCCGCCGCTGCACCGGTGAGGCTCGGGCTGCCCAGGAGGGCCGGGGTGAGGCTCGGGCTGCCCAGGAGGGCCGGGGTGAGGCTCGGGCTGCGGAGGAGGGCTGGGGTGGGGCTCAGGCCGCTCAGGAGGGTCGGCGTGGGGCTCGGACTGCCCAGGAGGGCCGGGGTGAGGCTCGGGGTGCCCAGGAGGGCCGGGGTGAGGCTCGGGCCGCTCAGGAGGGCCGGGGCGAGGCTCGGGGTGCTCAGGAGGGCCGGGATGAGGCTTGAACTGCGCAGGAGGGCGGGGGTGAGGCTCGGACTGCCCAGGAGGGCCGGGGTTGAGGCTCAGGTTGCTCAAGAGGGTCGAGATAATGCCCGGGCTGTTGAGGTGTGACCGCTTGATCTGCTTCTCTTCAAATTCTGAGTTGCTGTGCGCCGAAGCCATGTCAACCCCTCGAAGCGAGCCAGCCGTATGCACGTGTCGCAGTTGAGTGCGGCATTCGAATCCAAGGCGCTGTGACATGCCGAGACGCCAAACGCGAGCTGCCCGGTGGCCCGGTCCCGGCCCGGTGATCTGGCTGTCTCCCATCAGGACGGCGGCTGCGCGCGCACGGCCGACCCGGTCTCCCCGTGAAGTATTCTCTGTCGAGGTACAGGCCCCGTGTGCTGACGGCCGTCCGTGTCGGCTCCCACAGGCAGGTGATCATAGTGCTGACTCAGCTGGAGGGCAGCGGCGGCTTCTCCATCACGCACCGGCTCACCCACCGCGTCTCTTTGTCGGCCGGCCTGGCCGACTGGGGCCCGGCCGGCGCCGCCCACGTGCCAGCCATAGGCCCTGACGTGGTCGGCCTGCACGGGCCGCGGCCAATCTGAGGGCGGGTCAGGTCAGGTCAGGGTGCGACGGACGCGGGACAGGCCGGAGTTCTGAGATGTAGCTGATTCTTTCGGTCTGACCGCGTAAGGCCCGGTCCAGTCAGGCTCGCCCGGGCAGACCAAGGGCAGACCAGACCAGACCAGACCAGACCAGACCGGACCGAGGGTCTGATCGGCCTTGACGGCCCGACGCCGTCCTCTCAGCTCTCAGGGAGTGCGTAGTCGTCGGGTAGTGGCGCCAGCCGTCCTGTAGGTAGACGCAGAAGCTGCCGCGGCGGAGGCCGAGCCCCGCGGCGTGGCGCTGCGCCCGCCGCCGGGATGCGGGGCGGGCGCTCTGCTCTGTATCGGTCGTGAACGAGGCTGGGATTCTGCTCTGCCAGCCGGCTTCAGCGCGCGGTCAGTGTGTGTAGGCAGATGACATGAGCCTGTGAGGAGAAGCAATGGTGTTGCACCGAAGATTGTAGGATATGAATTGAGACCACCGCTATTTGCATGTGATGTATGTGTTGCGTTTGTATGTCGTCCCATTTATATCGCCTTTATGCGTGTGTGCTGATCAGACGTGCTCAAGAGAGCTGACAGGTTAGGGTATGGAAGTCAGGTCCAGCAGTCTAGTGACGCCTTGGGGTCCTTGCTAAAGGTACTAACTCCCGTAAGGTATGTGAACTGCGAAAGGTACGGACTTAAGGTATGCGAATTGTAGGCGTTTCGTCCAATCCAGTATTAAGCGATTATTAGTGGATGGTGTGATTACGCAGTTTATCTTACTGATTCATGTTTGATGGAAGGCTGTATCCACCTGAAGCAGCGACGCACCGAACTATCTCACCGAGGCTATATGGTTGTGTTTTGTTAGCAGTGTTCCCGCAGTGCACATTGCTGTTGTCACGATCCAGGATTCGTTGCGTATCGTTGTCTCACGTTGTGATGACGCTTGACGTTCTCCGGCTGTCTATGTCTGCATCATTGTGTGCCAACCCCGCCGCACCGCCAGTCCCTCGCTCACCGGGCCGTGGTGTTTATCCCGCGCCGTCCGCTGCTGGTGACACCTGTCGGCGCCGCCAGGCTACTGTGCTTCCCATGGCCGCTGATGGTGGCGCCACCTGGCACCCGATGGGCCATTTTGTTTCCGTCGCCGTTCGCGCGTGCTGCAACCTGTCCCGCGGTTCGGTGTCCGTCGCTCTGCAGGGGCTGACGCCGCTTCTGCCCTCCCGTCCTGCTGCTGCTGGTTCGCGCGTCAGCAGTCCCCAGGGCGACAGCAGTGACAGTGATTCCCCGTACGTCTGCGACAGCAGCGACAGTGGTCCCCCGTGCGTCTGCGACAGCGATGACAGTGGTCCCCCGTACGTCTGCGCCCACCAGAGATCTCGTTCTCCACATCGCTGGAGGATCTCAGACGATGGGGAGGCCACACACACACACAGGCTACACGCGGATGCGGATGACATTTAAGGGACATGGCGCGGACGGACTGGGTTCGATACGCCTCGCAGGCTTGCCGGGCGCTTCTACCTCCTTGTGCTTCGCCATACTGAGGGTTGCGCACGCGTTTTATTTTGGTCATGATGCGCTGTTTAATGCATCTCCGTGATTTACGCCAAGTTCATGGCCGCTCATAGTTGCATCCGTTTGCGCTAAAGCGCAACGTTTCATCAGCTGAATGCATCATGCAAATCGGCACCACCAATCACTACCTGATTGATCAGTATTGCCTCGAGATAGTCAGCTATACCACCAAGATGTAGTTCGGCTTGATTTTTTTCAAGTGATTAGTCACAGGCTGTTTCTGTGGCTGCCCCGGCGCCATTTTGTGGAAGTTTTCGCATCGCTAAACTGACGTTGCTTAGACTGTGAAATAGCCGCTACTGCCGTCTGGTCTGGGATGCGCGAGCGCTGCTTCGGCGGAGAAATTTGTCAACTTTGATTTAGAACAGAGTAGCAGGCAGATAATCAAAAGCGAATACGGCTTTGCTCGTCACGCGATGCTGTCCACGCTCGGATCCGCCCTGTGGACGCTGGAGCCCCTTGCGTACTGCTGCACTTAGAGCGTAGCGTGACATGGCAGCGGGTGTCGACCCGCGCCAGCCGAGGCGCCGCCGCCGCCCTCAGCCGCCGTTAGACACGACGGCGCGCCGTCTGGCGCTAGACGAGACGTCGGCCTCGTTGCCGGTGGACCTCGCTCGCGGTGGTGCTCGCGCTGTGGTCGCCGAGAGCCGCGGCGCCGCCGACCTGACCTCGATTTGGCCAGTATCTGTTGTGTGTGGGCGCGTCTGGTGACTGCGGCTCGCACGTCGCCGTCGCGGGACGGGGAGGTGCGTGTGTGTGTGTGTGTGTGTGTCACACAGGTCCAGTGGGTCTCCCGGGCCCTCGGACAGGGGCGGGCTGTGAGCCAGCGGGTCTCCTCAACCCCGCCGCGTCACCAACGCTGAGCACCAATGCCTGCGAGTGGTTAGATCCCCGTCGCGACGGTAAGGCATCGGCTGACGCGGCGCTCGCAGCGCGGGCCGCTCGCGGTCCCGACCAGGGGTGGGCGGCGTCAGGGAGCGCAGCCCAGCTGAGAGGCGCCGGGCTGCGCGTCGGCAGCGAGCCGTCCGTCCGTCATCGATGGCCTCCGCCGGCACCACGTCAGGGGTGTCAGCCACCGGCGGCCCCGCCCGGCCGCTGCCGACGCCGAGCGTCGCGGGCCGGAGCGTCCTGCTCCCGCCTGCTTCACAGCCGGCGGTGGTGGATCGCTCCGCGCTGGACGCGGCGGCGACGGCAGCCAGACGGCCGCTGGTGGCTCTGTACACGCTCTGGCTTGGGGCGCCGGCCGAACCGTATGAAGAAGACGTGGTGTTTGTATTCTGTCAACCCGTGTGTGTCGTTGGCGAGTACTCTTTTCACCAGTGCGTGTAATACATGCCTTTTATGAATGTCTAGTTCTATTGACATCGCGAGAATTTTCGTGCTCGTAGCTCCGCAAGTGATAGTCTGGACTATCACTACGCTACTACGCTACGCCAAGCATGCCGAATAACCGTCCTGGAACCCAAATTTCTGTAGATGGGGAGGGACGGGCATCCCGGGGCCTGTGTCTGTGACTTCTTCCATGTCAGAGAACGAGTAATTATGTAAATATGGGAGACTCGACCACGTCTCGACGATGTCCATGTGCATTGCGTCTGGCCGAGCAGATGGCGGACTGTTCCACTGTTGAGAAGCTGTTTATGGGAACGGTGACGTCATGATGCCACCACTGGCACTCGAGCTTGCAGCCTGCAAATAAACAGGCACGTGCCACTCGTGATAGCGCGCCGCCACAGAACTGGCCTGGGAGGAGAATTTCGTGCTTCCATCGAGAACACTCGAGTGAAGCTGCTGAAAATGTAAAATCAGTGGCTCAAATGTGTTCACGTTCGGACTCACTCCGTGTGTCGTGCGACAGGCTGAGCGCTGGTCACACGTGTGTTGTCCGCGCTGGTGCTCCGGCGGTGTGTCAGTTACACGCAGTAATCACCTCTGATTGGCCAGACGACTGATTGATTGGCTAGACGACTGATTGGCCAGACGGCTGATTGGCTAGACCGCTGATTGACCAGGTCAGGCCGCGACGGCCGGCGCCCGTGGTGCGAGGCCTCGAGATCAATCATTGGACGGGTTCTCCATCAGAGACGTGGGACATACCATACGTGAGAGCGGCCTCAAACGGCCCGCGGCGTGCGGTCATTGTCACCTCTGCTCCTGTGCGCCGTCGGCGTGATGACCTCGATGACCTTTGACCCCGCGGCCGACGAACGTCGGCGCTCGTGGCGACGCGCTCCTCGGTCACCTCTCGCACGGACCTGGCCTTGGCACCGGCCGCGGCGCTGGCGACAGCAGACGCTCATCCGCGCGACATCCCAAACCGTACAGTCGGCACAGCCGGCAGCGGCCCTGGTGCCTGCCGCTGTCGCTGGACCCAGGACTCGGCGTTCGAAGGTCGGCCGTGCATTACGAAACCGTGCGCCGATTCCGCTTAGAGGAAACCGGGGCGCTCGGAGGTCGTGATGATCGCATGTCGCGGCCTACGTCTGCCGGTATGTGTACAGTGAAGGCCTACCGGCTGTCCGCGTCACATGACTATCTCGTCAGTCATCACAATATGCCTGACAGTGCCTAGATCTATTTTTTTTTAAAGTCGGATGCGACTTGTAACTTACGGAGAAACAGGGAAGCTGCGTACCTGAACCGTAATGGATGGGCTCGGCAAGAAGAACATATCGCTGAAGGCGCAAACCCGTGCGAAAGAAGCTCTCGCTCACGTATATGGGCGGGACCATGTGCTTTGGATGAGAGAGCTGTCCACCGGGTCGGTGATTTTCCGAACCATCATCACGCGTGACCCGTGTAAACGCGCCTCGCCTCCTCGACATCAATGTGGGTTTGGGCGAGGTCGCCAAAAAACTAAACAGGTGATAATATCTCGCGTCCCTGTGAACCGTTCTCCAATAAATTAAATCTCCTCACGTAGTAGACTTCAGGAGGAGACCTCTGACCACGGCGGCGACGCTCAACAGCGCAAGGGATTTATTATCGGTTTGCATTTCGATTCAGCATGCCGGGTCCTCCCTACGCGCAGAGCAGTGGTGCATTTGTGGGCCTCTGCATCTGTACCTGCACGGGCGAGTTTTCGCCGCTCACTCAGCAACTTCAGCTGACCGGCAGCGCCGTGGAAGGCCGCAGACGTTGCGTAAGGCGCGCACGGCGGCTTCCAGCACTGCCGTGGCCGGCTCGCAGCATGCAGGATGGGAGTGGATCATTAGCATGCGGCCGGGCGGTGGCGGCGGCGGTGGCGGCGTCACCTTGGCGACTGTGCGCGGCGCTGCGCCGGGCGCGGCCTATCGCGCCATCGGGCCGACCGACCAGCCGGCACCAGGGGGCGGCCGGGCCTCCCGGGAGGCCGCGCACACGGCTCGCGCCCTGACAGCAGTGGTGCCACGCTCCTGCTGGCAGCCAGTGGAACCGTAGCTGCAGGCCGTGAGATATACGGGGCGACACGACGCGAGCTGTTGGCTGCCTGCGCCTGGGAGGCCGCTAAGGTAGGGCTCATCCGAACTCCGTACTGTGCATTTTTCACTTTCTATGGGGCCACGGAGCAACAGTTTCTTACTGTCCGAGGTCATGACGTTAATAATGCGAGCATCATTGTTAATAGACTCAAACCACGGCCGTGAGCACCAAATCCGCCGCTACCTCACTGTGCATGACCCAACGCCGCCAAATCTGGGCATCGCCGAATCGAACACTGATTTCCCGCGGGGTAACGCCAGAAGCTTGATGGCTTGAAGTCGCTTGGAGGCAATCAGGAGATTGGCATGGGGTTTTCCCAGACAGCAATGTTACCCGGAGATGATCTTGGTACCGGTTCTGTAGATGCCGATGCTGAATGAAGTGGAGATCCTGCCTCCGCCCAGCGGGCTGGAGCGCGAGCACAGCACGATCTTCACTCCCGAGGCTGTGCAATTCCTGACCGACTGCTACAGACATTTCTGCGCCGATGTGCAGGCGGTTAGTGACTTGATGTTTTGTGCCATGGTTTATGCACTAAGCAGCTGCTCCGTGAATTTTGCGAGAAATGTGACACGGTGTCTTTGGAAAAGGACAGTTTCAGCTTGATGCACGTTTGGTTGGCGTGTATAATTATCGTCGGTGACCGGGTGTTGGATCGCAAGGGCATAGCGTGGCGTCCCGAAAACGGGCGCTCCAAATCAAACTATCCTCAAGTCCGATATTTGCATGCATCACCACTGTGCTGCCCACGGACTTCTCCACCTACCGCGCATACCGTGGAATGGGAAAGTCTATGGGTAAATTTGATGCGGTTGTGTAACGACCTGACCTGCTCTTGAGCGGTAGTGACGACGGGGTCACGCCCACGACCCCGAGGTCGAATCTTTTTCTCGGTGCACGCACTACATTAGCAGCGCTCGTACAGCAGCCGGTACTGCTGCTGCGGCAGTACGTCTGCAGTTTAAAATCTTCCTTTACATCTGGTCAGACAAAAGAAAACTAATCTAACCAATGAAGGACAACGCTTTTAACCACTGCCCTCTCAAGAAAAAAATGGGATCATCAGACATGAATGTCACCACATTATAACAAATCGGTCGAGAATATTTCACTTGGCGATAAAAATGACACGATCGCACGCAACCATTGGAGCTCGCATCCTAAACGAGACTCGGCCCTACGTTAGGCCAGCAAACATTGCCCTAGGTTTGCACTCTCGCTGACTTTAAAACAAACATCAGCAAGCCTTACAGGGCTGCTTCGGGTTCTGGCAGCAGCAAAGACGGGAGGTAGGCAGTAAAAGCGTCGGCTTCGTCTCTGAAAAATCCCATTGGTGAAAAACAGCGAAACAACCTCATGGCGTTAATGAGAAGTAACGAGGCAAAACCGCGTTTGCTCCCACCCCACCTCCACAGAAGATCGGTCGCCACTGATATCATACCTACGTACTCGGCCCGCCCACGCGCGCCTCTCATTCTCGTCCGGCCGCCAGCTGTACGACGCCCGGAGGCAGCGTCAGCTGACGCTCGACAGTGGCGGCGCGCTGCCAACGTTCGCGGCGCAGTCAGCTGAGCTGCAGGCTGGCTGGACGGTGGCGCCTCTGCCGGCCGGACTGCGCGACCGACGGCTGGACTTAGGCGACGTGACGCCAGCCGACCTGGCTCGGCTGACGCTCGCCCTCAACACTCCTGCGTCTGGCGTCCAGGTAAAGCTAGGTGACGCCACTGGCGCTGGTGGTGGTAGCGGTCGATAGATGTCGCCACTGTCGAGATGCAAGCTATGTGCTGGGTGAACGGTTCCTCTTCACATGGCGGGCCTCACGCCATGACAACACGTTTCCTGTGTTATCTCCTGTGTTGCTGTACTCCTATCAGTTCGGATAAATTGGGTTGGCTATTAGAACTTTATTATTTTAAATAACGGGTTGCCTATATAAATTGGGATAAATTGGCTGTTCCGGCGTCTGCGTATTGTGATACGTGATGCGTCTTATCTACACATAAATCACAGACGACATGTCGCATTCGCTTCGTCTCAAGACAAATGAAACCAGCAAAAGATGCTTTCTCACCGCTGTGGCGCAAATAATCGGGTCGCAGTTTCCTTTTTCCTGCGAGGAGACTGTGGCAGGCTGCAGGGCCGTTCACCAGCGCGCCACTCACCGTCCGTCGCGTCTGCTGCGTTCGCAGGTGGACTTTGACGACGGCCACTGCCCGACCTGGCGTAACCAGATGCTGGGCTGGCACCACGTGATGCTGGCATGCAGCGGCCAGCTGTCGGCGCCGGCGCTGGAGGCGGCGCCCGTGCTCATGATCCGGCCCAGGGCCTGGAACATGACAGAGTACAACGTCCTTGTCGACGGGAGTCCGGTGCCGGGCGCGCTGATCGACTTCTGGTGAGAACGCCAGAGGCTGGGTCAGCGCCCTGAGCGGCGGCGCGGGCGCTGAGAACGCCAGAGGCCGGGTCAGCGTCCTGGGGGCGGCTCGGGCGCTGAGAACGCCAGAGGCCGGGTCAGCGTTCTGGGCGGCGGCTCGGGCGCTGAGAACGCCAGAGGCCGGGTCAGCGTTCTGGGCGGCGGCTCGGGCGCTGATATCGCCGGCCACGCTGTGAAAGCCGACTTTCGGAGATCGAGGAGTGTTTGTCAAATGTACCCGACGGAGGTGGAACAGCAGTCCTGTCATAGCTTCAAACCATGTCGAGTTTGAACTCAAGCTACGCGATTGCCCCGCTGCGACAGAGTTGCCCGATTTACGTCCTGCTTCCTAGCGCAACCGGCCTTGCCTTTCTCTCTGGAGAGAGAGAAAGAGAGAGAGAGAGAGAGAGAGAGAGAGAGAGGAGAGAGAGAGAGAGATAGAAGAGAGAGAGAGAGAGAGAGAGAGAGAGGAGAGAGAGAGAGAGAGAGAGGAGAGAGAGAGAGAGAGAGAGAGAGAGAGGAGAGAGAGAGAGAAGAGAGAGAGAGAGAGAGAGGGAGAGAAGAGAGAGAGAGAGAGAGGATAGAGAGAGAGAGAGAGAGAGAGAGAGAGAGAGAGAGAGAAGAGAGAGAGGGAGAGGGGAAGTGAGAGGGAGGGAAAGGGAGACGGAGACGGAGACGGACGGACGGACGACTCCCACTGGCACATGCTTTAGCTGCGTCTTTTCGGCAGCGTACTGATGTTCCACTGCGGCTCTCGATTGGCTGAGGCCGGTCGAGGTCCCGCCCTCTACCTGCCCAAGCTGGAGGCGGCACTCGAGGCCAGACTCTGGGCTCAGATTTTTTCGTCTGGACCGAGCAGAAGCTGGGCATGGAGAGAGGTAATGAAATTACATAATGGACGGCTTTTACTCTTTTAGTCTTTTAGTTCCGGGGAAGTCCATTGTCTCATTTCTGCGATAGCTCTGCTATGGCTGTAAAACAGGACCATCGTGAAATATTCATGGCCTTAAAGAAAGTTCGTTGGCTTGAAATTGCGCCCATGCTGCATTTCACATTAGAGACAAATTCAACTCATAAAAGGCCCTGCCACACGGCGGCGTGCCTGCAGTCTCCAACTGTCATCTCACAATCCAGGGACAACGATGCCGGCTTTATGTTTCAATAATGTTTAAAGTAAAAGAAAGTCGATATCTTTCACGCATGTAAAAGAGTGTCGATGGCTTTCACGCATGACCCATATTTCAGCGCACACAGGGTGCCAGAAGTGCGAAGGTGTGAAGGGGGGGGGGGGGCATCAAGGGAAGTGCGCCAGGGGCAAATGAGATTCCACGTCCGTTGAAACAAGATTTGTTCGCCGTTTTGACGACCCGAAATTATTTGATTTCAGGAACGATTCGGAGCCTGTCTCATGATTGAGAACATCCTGGCGGCGTTCGAGGTTGAGGAGATGCTGTATGAGCTGCGGGACCACTCCCTGGGCCTGAACTGCGGCATGTGGGACTATGCCGCCTCCTTTATCAGCAAATTTGGTGAGCATCCAGCCCCAGCGCAGTCTGAGAGACGTCATAGATGGGACAGGGATACGACGCATCGGTGCGAACGAGTGATGTGGATGAATATAGCGTCCTTCACGGGTGCGGACATTTGTAGAGCATCAATGCACAGCTGATGAATGTCGACACACTCAAGGTCATGTTCTCATCGAGTGATCGGCACATTTGACCAGTTCCCGACGAGTGCCTGCCAGCACCTCACCGTCCATGGTTGGTGTTGCCCTGCCGTGTGTCCCCGATGACCGTGCAGCTGCCCCTGCCTAACAGCTCGCCGGTCGCAGCTTCTCACCGGCCCCGGACTTGTTATCGTTCTGGTGACGTGACTCCTGCCCGAGCTCCTGCTCCTGCCAACGTATCTCCTGTCCAAGCTTCTGCTCCTGCTTGTGTAACTCCTGCCCGAACTCCTGACCTTGCTGACGTAACCCCTGCCCGAACTCCTGACGCTGTCGACGTAACTCCCACCCAAGGTCCTGCTCCCGCTAATGTAACTACTTTCCGAACTCCTGTTCCTGCCAACGTGACCTCTGCCCGAGCTCCTGACCCTTCTAACGTAGCACGCGCCCGACAGCTCGCAGGCCGGAGTTCGTGCTGCCGGACCGTGGGCCTCACATCACGATGGAGGCGCCATTCATGGCTGCCTACTTGCGCCACATGATCGAGGTGGGCCACCGTCACCAGGTGCCCGTCACGGCCGGCATGGCGCCGCAGATCCTGCCTGACGACCCGGAGATGAGGTCAGTGGCAGGGGCGTCGCCAGGCAGCACGTCCGGGGGATCAGTCGCCGCGCGCGGGGGTGTCGCGAAAGGAATATTTTATGTTGCTCTTTAAAGATGAAAATCCGGATACGAGACTGTTGCTCTGGTTAATGGTTCGGAAAGAATGTCGGATAGTCAGTTTGATGGTATTGCCTTATTCGAAGGACGTTCGTATCCGGGAAAAAATGAGTCATGTCAACCGCAACAGCAGCCGACAGAAACCAACTGATATCAAGTACTGGGGTTGTTCATGGTCGAACATCCGGTAGAACTAATTTTACACGCACGCTCATTTTTTCGGAACGTCATGCCTAATATCCTTGCATAAAATGATAAACACGATGCCAGATCCTGCACGCTGGCCGCGAGCGAAAGTCGGTGGCAAGGGCGCCGTCAGGCGACACGGCAGGGAGGTCATCAAACGCAGCCTGTGTGTTCGGGAATGTTATCACAAACAGACGCCATCTGACTGACCGGCCCGTTGTCAGGAACTCGATCATCACGGCCGTGGTGCTCTCCAAGCGCGCAGAGATTGAGGCTGGAGTGGACGGCTTTCTGGCGTACGACCCGAACCTTGTGCCCGCTCTGATGCAGGTCAGATCATGCACTCTCCACCTCTCAGATCCAGATTAAAGCTGGTGTTTAATCGTGGCCAGGGCCGGACCCGTTCTGGGTCTTTTGTTACTGCGGTCAGGATATGCTGGCGATATGAAGACACTTGCCGCTGAATATGCTATGATATGAGATGCAGGGTTGTAGTTTCCTATGCAGTTGGGGGCTCCAGCGAACCCTTCCCTTCCAAACACACACTCACACACAAACACTTTGAGAACAAATTGGGCCAAAGTTCCAGAGACACGTTTCTTGGAGGCAGGCTTCGTCATGTCTCACTGCCCAACCTCCTCCCCAAAGTCCTTTTGCGAAACTTCATCCCTGAATAGGCATGAGTCTCGTTTCAGTGTAGTAAATATCCGCGACACCACCATCCATTACACCTGTTGCTTTACGATCAGTTGAATGGGACAGGATGATACGGGTCGCATGGTAATGCTCTAAATCCTGGCCCACTGCCGCCTTTGGGGTCGAATCAGCGAGCCTTCCCTGCGACTAGATTTATTGCCTGAGCGCGAATTTGGAGTCATCAGGAAGGTAATGATTCAGAGTTCGCGTTTTTTTGTGACCGGCTGGGCAATCATGGGATGACGGAGCGAAAAAAACTAGCCCCAACCCCGTGTATGTCTCATTCGCTCCCATATCCGCAACAGAAGGTCTCTGATAAGTCTACACCAAGGGCTTTCTGTCATTTTTACAGTGTTTCCGCGCCTGAGAGCTCTCACATGATCAGACACCACTTCGCAGCCCCTGCGTATGCCTCTAACGCGGTTTCTTGCGCAGTTGTGGGAGTTGCAGGTCCCACGGCAGGTAGCGTCACCTGACAACTCGCAGTTGCTGACGCTGCCGAAAGGCGGCGCTACCAGCGCCGGCCTGCACGAGAACGTGTGCGTGACGCTGCTATTCATCCACGCGTGGCTGCACGGACGCGGCCAGTTCGCGTACCGTAGCAGGGTGGAGGACTCAGCCACCGCAGAGATATGCCGCTCCCAGCTCTGGCAGTGGTGTCGGCACAAGGTGGGCGTGAAGGCCGACCTCTTGATGACCTAGCGAAGGGCCTCTTCTGTCCCCGGCAGTCGTATCCCACCGTTCGATTTCTTGTCGACTCATGCAACTTCCCCGGAGATAGGGACAACCGCGTGGTGCATAAGCAATTTCCAGTGGAGGAAACTAGTCCTTGAACCATTTCTGACCTTTCTATGTCTTTTATTCCCGTACCATGAACATTAAGTAAACTAAGCAGCCATTAAGAAGCTATACAGAGCGACACTGTTTTGCAGTTGGTATGGATGCAGCCTTAGACGGATACGATCCTTAAGAGTTTTGTCTCCTCGCCCACTTCGCTGCTTGTCCACCTAGTCCTGAGAATCACAGCTCAAGCGGTTGACTGTGTGGTGCCATCCCCAGACGGTGCTGACCGACACGGGGACCCCGGTGACACTGGAGGCGATCCTGGAGGAGGTGAAGATAGCGGTGACGCTGCTGGAGGAGGCCGGTACCGACGTCTCGGATGCCGTGCCGCTGCTGAAGAGCCTGATCCGCAGCTCCGAGTTCGTGCCGTTCATCACCACTCACCTGAGCGAGCAGACCGTCATCCAGGAGGCAGACTGAGCCGCGGGCTGAAAGACAGGGAGTCCAGTGTCCAGTGAAAGCCACTGAGTCCATTCAGGGGTCCTTGATTCAACAGATCCCAGTACAGAGGTTCGGGACTCCGCAGAGTCTGGTGAGAAGGTCCGGACCTGGCTTGCTGAACTCGAAACAAAACAGAACAGGGCCCGACTGAACTCGTGCAAAGATCCTGGACCCGACTGAGCACAGTATAAGGACTCAAGACTTATCTGGCCTAGGCGAGGAGGTTCTGGCTTTCTGCTGCGCCCGGTGCAGAGGCCAATGACCTGGATCTTTATTAAGCCTGATGCAGAGGTCTCGGAATCTCTACTGAGCCTAGTGAAGAGGACCTGGATCTTTACTAAGCCCAGTGAAGAAAACATTGATCTTCACTAAGCTCAGTGCAGAGAACCTGGATCTCTTCTGAGCCCAGCGCAGAAGTCCTGGATCTCTCCTGAGCCCAGCGCAGAAGTCCTGGATCTCTCCTGAGCCCAGCGCAGAAGTCCTGGATCTCTCCTGAGCCCAGCGCAGAAGTCCTGGATCTCTGCTGAGCACAATGCAGAAGTCCTGGATCTCTACTGAGCCCAGCGCAGAGGTTCTGGGTCTCTACTGAGCCCGGCACAGAGGTCCTGGACTGCGACTGGGCGGGCCGGCACAGAGGTTCAAGTATCCAGCCCAGCCTGGCACTGAAGCTAGGACTGCGAGAGCGGCCAGTGCAGTTTTGCAGCTAGCTGTAGTGTGGTGCTTCGCTGTGACGTGCTTCGCCGCTCACGCCTCCACGCATGCCTCTCAAATATAAACTGAAACAGAGTCATGGCGCCTCTGGCGAGAAGTGGACGTTTTGCTCCAAGAAGACAAAACCTGTCTAGACAGACAGCCTCAGCAGCCTTGGCTACACAGCTCACGTTTGACCGGCGTTGCCCGCGGGTCAAGTCGATGACTTCCGTCACCACTTTGCCTCCGTCGGTCCAAGCACCGCCGTTGAGCTGGTCGTGGGCAGCACGGGCTGCACACCGCTCCCTCCAGGGTCACCGCGTCTCGACTCGTGACGTCAGCTCACTGTCGGGGCTGCCTGGTGACCTTGCTCGAGCTCCCGAAGAGTGCGAGTGCGTTATCGTTTTCTAGCGCTGTTTGCGTCGGTAGTGGGACAGCGCATGTTCTGAGGACGTTTCACTTTTGTAGAACCCCACGTGCTCCAGTTATTTGTTGTATTTATTCCGTTCTTTGAAAACTGCTTCCGTTGTGCTTCTTCAGGAGTGTTATTTTCGTAGCGATGCCAGTCATTGAAGCCTTTTCATTCAGTATGTTGTATCTAAAATCTGCGGAAAAATTATTTGCATGCACTTATTAGCCCGTTCCTTAGTTAACAACTACCTTTTGCATAGTCTGTTAGTGCGGCATAATGCTCGTAAAGAACATGCCACTTGACGAAGAACGCCTTTGCCGACGCTACCGGGTGGGTGATATGGGGTGTCAACGCGGGGCACGTCGTCTATGTCACATCAATCGACTTTTATAAAGCTTTGACAGCGCTGACCATCAGCGTCCCGTTGACCAAGCCGAGGGGCAGGGCGTTGATGCAAGATGGCTTCCGAGCTGCCTCAGTGGTCCCAGCCAGATGGCATGAGCTGGCTCTTCACTCGCCCCTTTGTTCCAGCGTCTCAGGGGGGTCCCTGGTTGGCCCTATCCCCTTCAGCACCTTTACGGACGACTCTCCACGTGGTAGCCTGATATCGTATTGACGGCACCCAGGTCCTTGACCTCGGCCGTCTGATGAACTGTCCATCTTTAAATACCGGCAGGGGGAAGTACTCCTAGCCGTCCAGTCCTACACCACAACCAGTTCCTTGAAGATGAATCCATTGAATGTCCATCTTGCAGTCGAGTCGTCACACGACAGGTCATCACGTATCACCTTTACGTTTTCAGCCACACAATGTGACTCCTTCACCGTCGGTGAAAGTATTGATGTTCATCATCGACCCCAACCTCTCCTGGAGGAAAAGGTTCAATTTAGCAGAGGGGCGCGCGTCCATTCCATTTTTCTTCGCGCCTGCAAAATGTATCGCCATCGTACACCCGAGACCCCGAAGCTACTTATTAAGATGGGTGTATTTCTTCAAATCCTGCACGTCTCTCGGCGTAAGACGGTGCCACCGCCCGTTACTGCAGCCCAGTTCACCAGCTGGCGTGTGCTGGTGCCAGGGTCTCATTGGGGCGCGGGATCGACGCACCTCCGCGCCCGAGACAGGGTCACCTCGGAGCGCGGGGTCCAGACAAGCACCCGCGGCGCCCAAGACAGCTACCGTGATTTTGGGTCCCACACCGAGCCTCGGGTGTGACCGTGTACGCGGTCGGGCAGGTCAGCATCCGCCCACCGACCCTCAGGTGTTGCCGTGTTACGTGGTCGGGCAGGTCAGCGTCACCCACCGACCCTCGGGTGTGGCCGTGTTACGCGGTCTGGCAGGTCAACGTCTTAGACCTCTCCCCTGTTCGACCGCCCATGTCACGGAAGGCATTGCCGTAGCGCTCGGCCCCGTCCTGGAGTCGTCTGTCGCCGGCCAGCGTATTTTTAAGCCTCACTTCCGATTAAATTGTGTATTTTCAGGTATATTTTTTCTTATATCCTTGGTATATTCTTTTCAACTGCGTCTAGGGCGCGAATAACCATTGCTGTTAACACGCTCTCAAAACCTTTAACTAACAGGCCGCGTCTTTTCATGCCCCTCAACCTTCGTTTCATGAGGGCAGCACACAAGCTTGGGCTCGAGCTGCATTCTTACCGATGGACATGAAATGGTTGCTAAATGCATGGAATGGGATGGCATGCCTGCAATCAGACGGACTTTGTAAGGGCTCCCATCGCCAATATTCATGTTACGCGACACAGCCAGCAAGAGCCATTCGGGATATATTCAAAGTTACAATACGTTCATAACCAACGTGACAGTATTTGCCGTCCTGCTTAATAAGGAAAAAATTGCACAGCAGTACTGTTGATACCTGTTTGATAAAAGCATAAATCTGTTTCCCACTCAATATGCAAACTGTGTCAAAGCATCACGAAACACGATATATAGATTGCTTTTATTTAACAACTTATGAGGTACACTTAATAAGCGTAAAAATGTCATTCTTTCAAACGCAAACGCTCAAGGAAAATAGTGAACGGGCCGCTCCAGCAGAGAACATAAACACATAGTATAAAATTAATTGTCCTCGCCAAACAAAGCAACCCATGCACTTCAAAACGAACGCACTCTCGCGTATATGCAAATTCATTTCGTCTGAAACGGCACCAAGTCGCTGGTCAGTAAAACAAGCCCAGTAGTGTGACGTCACGCCATGACGTCACACGATGCGCACATCACGCGCGGTGTCCGGGATTGCGGGCGCATAACGCACATACGAAGTATCACAAAGTCACCAAATTTCCAAACTAGGCCTCTTAAATGCGCCGCCGAGCTCAATTCCCGTCTCCGATCGGCCGTGGGATGCGCCCGGGCGCGCTTCCCGCCGGTGAGGGCCCGGCGCCCCACGGCCGCCGCGCCGGTATGACCCGTCAGTCCTGCTGAAGCCAGCAGAGCGCCGCCCCGTCACGAGCGCCCCGGGGCAGCGCCGCCAACAGCGCCCGACACTGACCGGGCCGCCCCAGACCCAGCCGGGCGGGCCGCCCCGGACCCAGCCGGGCGGGCCGCCCCGGACCCAGCCGGGCGGGCCGCCCCAGACCCAGCCGGGCGGGCCGCCGCAGACCCAGCCGGGCGGGCCACCGCAGACCCAGCCGAGCGAGCCACCGCAGACCCAGCCGGGCGGGCCGCCCCGGATCCAGCCGGGCGGGCCGTTCCGGACCCAGCCGGGCGGGCCGCCGCAGATCCAGCCGGGCGGGCGGTCCCGGACCCAGCTGGAAGCCGCATGTCGGGTCAGCGGAGAGCGTCCGGCGGGGCCAGACACGGCGTGGCGGCGCTCCTCCGGCGGTGTGAAGGCGATGCGGGCTCCCGCAGCGACCGTCTCCAGCAGGCCGTCGCGGATAGCTGGTCCGGCTCCGTGACCAGGCCTCCGGCTTCGTGTGGCAGTGACGTAAGTTTGGTACCGTACTTTCCTGAGCCGGGCACCCTCTGAGCGGGGCACTGCGACGACGACGCGGTTCCCTCGCCAGCGTCGCAGAACTGTGAGGTCGGATGCGTCGGATCGTGTCGGGTTTGTGGCGTTTGTACTGGAAATGCGTACTGGTGACCTGATTTCCGCACCCCTGCCACGAGTCTACGTCTCACAGTACAGTCTTCACACGCCAGCACTGCATACATTCACGCGGGAGAGCATATGTACACCGATTTACAGCACATGACTAATCGACGAATCCGTTGGGCGGAGAGGGGTCGTCGACGCCCCTCCCCCACCGCGCGCAGTTCGACGGCGCTTAAAAGTGCACTTCTAGCACATCTGTCGGCGTTTCAACCTGACTGTGCTTCAAAGTCTGGTCACTAGATGTCGCGCCAATCGAGCCCCGGTTGGCCTGCTCTTCTGCAAACTCCCGGATCGTCTCTTCGATCTGGTCCAGGCAACTCCGCAGCAGGTCCTGAAACGTCGGAAAGTATACAAATGAACACCCGCCGCTGGCCCATGCGTTACAGACCCAACGGATATGTCAAAAGCGCATGGCAAATAACCTACCCGTCGGCTGACATGAATAATTACGGTAGTAAATGAGCATATCAGAGCATTTAGCACGAGCTGACCAGCCGCGGCTACGACAAGGCTACATTTGGTTTGCGGAGACGGCCCTCGCCCATTCCCACCAGCAGAGTTGAGCAGGGCCCCGCGACAGCCGTGCAATCATTCACGCCGCGGCGTTATTCTGAACGAGACAGCGCACTTCAGTAACAAGGGTCCTGCGCGATCATTAGAGAAGCCATTACGGCCGGGGGACGGCCAGGTGCGGAGGGTGACAGAGGACCGACGGTGTCGCGTTAGTCGGCGCCAGCCCACCCGCTGACTCCCATCAGCTGGCTGTGACCTTGACCGTCCGGGATCGGCAGGAGTGGCCGTAGCTTTGGGCAGCCGCCGACAGATGTCTGGCTACGCGGGAAGCAGGACCAATTCAGGGCCGTCGTGGCAACGGACGTCAGCGAAAACTCGACGATCCCGTTCGATAATCCACACCACGCGATACACATCCCTACTAGGTGTCCTCCGAAAGCAGGTCCGAATGCTGGAAAAGCCGCGAACGTTTGGGAATGTTCAGGCTCACAACCAGAGGCCAAACCACCCGTTCGCGGGAGGCCGCGATGACCTTGATTTGGTCGGCACCGCCGCGATCAGGAGCGTCTGAGATCTAGCCAGCGATCCCATGCAGCCGCGCCTGTCCAGCATCAGAGCAGTGGTACCTCAGGTCAGTCTGGGGCCCGCTGCTGTGCCGACGAGGTCACTGCTCCGTGTGCGAGCCTTCGACCGAAACACGCCCCACGGAGGGGTCGACATGTGCTCACGTGCGTCCAGTCCGCACGGCGCGGGACGTGGGAAAAGTGGTACAGAAGGTGTGTGATCAGGACACATGGCCCGCTTCAAGTGGGCAATGATTCTTACGTTGAACTCCGCCTCGTACCTCTGGAGTTGGTGCTTCGACGCAACGCCATTCGGGCGCCGGTAGCGGAGTGGTTAACGCGTCTGCGTTAACCACTCCGCGTCTGTGTCTGCGGCAATCACTGCACGTCTGGGAATCCAAAGGCACAGGATCGGATTGCACGCTCATTCCCCGCGGTGTCCGCCCTTCTTGCCAGGTTGATAGGCAGGCGACGCCATATAGCCTCAGCAGCTGGGTGTGTTATAAAGCCCCAATAACGAGCGACGATGCAATGCCATTCATCGCGACAAATGACTATCCTGGTCCTAAGATGCGACACGAATGCATCCTTCGATGCCGGACCCTAACGTCTGCTATTTAAAGGACGTATGCAACATCCCGTTCTATGCCTCGCAAATGCCGTCGAACGAACTCGGTCCACCCGACGTCCGCGAAACCAGACGCGGCTGTCTTTCAAGTCCGTGGGAACGTCCCCGGGGGGAGGGGGGACGGGTGGCGGGACTAGTTTGTTGGACCGGGTGAACGGCTCCGCCGAAGGCCAACGCCGCCACCGCTGAAAAACTACGCCGCTCGACTCTTCCTCTTCATTTGTTTTCGACCGCAGAAATTTTCACGGATGTTATAACACCCGGGAGAGCCCATTGACTTTAATCACGTGACCAATGAGATGGAACGGGGCCGGCCCAGGAGGCCACGCGCCACAAAGCGCGATCGCCACAGTAGACCAAACGGAGCACATCCCGCACACAGCCGAACGCGACCGGAACGGAACACCGCCTGACCAAGCGGAGCACGCCCTTGACAGGGTGGATCACACCCCGACGGAACAGAGCACGTCTCTGACAGAGGGGAGTACGTCCGTGACGTAACAGAGCACGCCCCTGCCAGAGCGGGGCATACCTTCAGCAGAGGAAGTCGCTCACCACGCGACGCTACGTTCCAACGATCCTGAGCTGCCGGCTGCCGGGGCAGCTGCTGTGGTGACCTGAGCTGAGGCTGCCAGAGCGGCTGCTATGACCTGAGCTGAGGCTGCCAGAGCGGATGCTGTGACCTGAGCTGGGGCTGCCAGAGCGGCTGCTATGACCTGAGCTGAGGCTGCCAGAGCGGCTGCTGTGACCTGAGCTGGGGCTGCCAGAGCGGCTGCTGTGACCTGAGCTGAGGCTGTCAGAGCGGCTGCTGTGACTTGAGCTGAGGCTGCCAGAGCGGCTGCTATGACCTGAGCTGGGGCTGCCAGAGCGGCTGCTATGACCTGAGCTGAGGCTGCCAGAGCGGCTGCTGTGACCTGAGCTGAGGATGCCAGAGCGGCTGCTGTGACCTGAGCTGAGGCTGCCAGAGCGGCTGCTGTGACCTGAGCTGAGGCTGCCAGAGCGGCTGCTGTGACCTGAGCTGAGGCTGCCAGAGCGGCTGCTGTGACCTGAGCTGAGGCTGCCAGAGCGGCTGCTATGACCTGAGCTGAGGCTGCCAGAGCGGCTGCTGTGACCTGAGCTGAGGCTGCCAGAGCGGCTGCTGTGACTTGAGCTGAGGCTGCCAGAGCGGCTGCTGTGACCTGAGCTGAGGCTGCCAGAGCGGCTGCTGTGACTTGAGCTGAGGCTGCCAGAGCGGCTGCTGTGACCTGAGCTGAGGCTGCCAGAGCAGCTGCCGCGACCTGAGCCGCCGGCTGCGCGGCTGACTGTCGGCCGGTATCCGTGCGAGCAGACTGAGGTCGCGCGGAGACGGTCCGCCAGAAGAGGGCGTCGGCCACCGCGGCAGACTGCCACTCTCCGTGCACGAACAGGCCTCCAGGTCGAGATAAGCCGCGCGGAGCCGCCGGAAACGGTGCCGAGCGAGACACACGCAGCATCTGTGCGGGATCCGTGCGGGATCCGCGCGGCGGCCTACAAGGACCCTGTTGCGGTCGCAAAGAAACGAAGGATTTCAGCTGGACACGGGATTTGTGGGAGCTCAAGAATGTCCAAACTGAATGCACGCAGCGCGCGAGGCCCACATGGGTCCATGCCACGTCCACGGAATGTACAAGGTACCCACACAGCCTCCCATAGTTTCCAATCAGAGGCCGTTGGCGATCTCCTTGCCGGGTATCGGCACACCGGGCCTCGTCGGACCATCAGCTGGCCGAGGTCGGGTCCCAGCACGCGGCGACGGCGCCGCCCCGTCGGCCGCGTCAGCGTCCGTGAGCGACGGCGGCGGCGGCGGCGGCCCCCGCACCTGTGCCGGGCGCCGCTGCAGTCGGCCGGCCAGACCGTCTGCAGCCGGTGAGTCGGCGACCTCGCCGCCCACGCCCCGCCCCGCCGCTGTGCACGGGTCGGGGCGGGGCGGCGGCGGCCGAGTCGAGCCGAACGCCCCGCAGAGACGGCGCCTGAGCGGCGGACGCGCGTGCCTGCTGGCGGGCCGACGCCGGCGCTAGGGCGCGGGCTGGGAGCTCGAGTTCAGCTGGACATCCCGCCGCACCACTGCCCGGCTGCGGCGGCCGCTGGAGCTTCCCAGGCCGCTGGGAGCCGGCCGCCGCCGCCGTGTCCCGGCTGATGCACATGTGCCGCGCCGATCGATTTCGGTGAGCGGCGTTGCCGTGCCCGGCGCCGCCGTGTGTTTACACGGCCCCGTGGTCGCCTTGAGTCCATGACATAAGCAAGCGGCGTGGGCGGCCGCAGTCAACAGCCCGGCTGCCGCACCGCGCCACGGGCATCACCAGCGGAAAGGCCACGCGTCAGTGGGTATGGAGGGGAGGAGGGAGCACCCGTCACAGAGCAGGACAGCGCGCGCGGCGCTGGACCCCGTTCAGTGCCAGCATCGGGTGGGTTCAAGACCTTACGGGTGGCTGATTTGTTCGTGTTGCACCGAAGGATTCTAGCGACGCATGGTACGTATGTATGGAAGCTGGATACATATATCGGTTTGCTTTGTTTGAATATGTTCTTGCTACGCAAGCGCAATCATAAGTGTTTTGTGGATAAAATTAACACGCAAGTCACATCGATAAAAACGTCGAAGCATTAACTACCCAAAGGGTCCACGTTATTCCAAAGACCTTTCCCTGCTCAAGCACAGGGCATAGGGCCACCGCGCGCGTTCGACAACGGTGAGTGGTGACGTCACTGACCGTTTCGACGGCGGTGATGCGGTGCAGCTGACTGAAGATGTCGCTCATGGCGGCCTCCCGCCGAGCCGGCAGCAGGCCCTGCACGGCCGCCGCCAGGCTCGCCGCTGCCACCATACTGGCAGAGTAGATGACAAACTTGAACTCTGAAACAATGGGGACCACTCAGCGCACCGATCGCACCGCTGCCATCGCGCTGCCGTAGACTCCGCGCGCATCCAACAATATTTTCGTCTTCTGTGGGAAGAAATCAACAAACGATAAAACACAAGAGAGCAAAGAGCAGATGTACGTAAGTGCCGAAGAAATACAGTCATGAGGGAACGGCAGAAGGAACGAGCGCAAGGGGAGGGAAAAAATACGAGGACAGAGAACGGGAGAGAGATAGGGGGAGGGGGAGGAGAGAGAGCAGGATATTTTGGAAAATATCAACACATTTTAGACGTTTCTGAAGCCTGCTGAAGAATCGCATTTTAATTATAAATCTGGAAAGCTCAAAAATGATCCCTGATTCACATGGGCCTTTCAGTTCGCTAAGGTTTCGTCTTCTCGCTTTTAAAAGTCTATAAAATGACGGCTTTAACATAGGCCCAATGGACAGTGACCATTGCATGGTGTTAGCTCCGCTGTGGCAGGTGCTGAAGGTCCATGGTGTCACGGCCGAGCGCAGAGTGTTAAAGTGGCAAATGTTCAGGATTTCATGGTGCTGTTAAGGCACGGTTTCAAATGATGTTCTACTCGTTTTAGGAACAGAGAAACACGAACACATTTTTGCAAGCCCAATCCTTGTCTCAGCTCACTTGCTCACTTCTCTCACGAGAGGTGAGCGGGTCGGGGCCCACCCAGCAGCTTACGCCTTGTTTCTACATTCACGTGGCAATGTAGATGATTGATCTATGTCTACGCCCAAATGTGCCAGACCCACCTTTGACCCACAAGGGCAATTTAACACTATATCATCAGCTGATACTTGAACTGTTTGATAACGTATTTATTATACGTATATATTACTAGGGATGCCACTCTGCATGCTTTTGGGTGTATATCCCCAATCATGACGGACTTGAGCAATGTGTCTATGTAGCCTCAAATGTCTAAATTGTTGCTGGAGGCAGATACATTTTTTTTAAAAACTTCCCTACGTGCCTTATCCTCTGGGTTTATACGCCTTGATGGATGAATGCATGCATACATGTTTCTGCGTTTGTCTGTGTGCCTATGCAACATGAATAGCGGTCTATGCGTAAACAATATCGGCTTCTTCACATAACTTTTCGATGATCCAGTCCGAGCCCTTAATTGTTAGTATTTCTGGGATTAGCGCGCATGCTAAACAGTGTTTGTTGCGTGTATCCTGGCCTCATCATACAATCATGACATTGTTAGCCAACAGCACCATGTTGCGGTGACGACCTGTACCGCAATGCTCGGCACGTCCGTCCTGCCCTCTGATGTCACCTGACCCCTGGCGCGGCCGCTACCACTGGCCGCAGCCGAGCCCAGTCAGTGACATATAGCGAACGCCTAGACCGACTCGAACCCACCCCCAGTCACGGACGACTCGAACCCACCCCGGCCACGGACGACTCGAACCCACCCCGCCACGGACGACTCGAACCCACCCCGGCCACGGGCGACTCGAACTCATCTGCGTCACGGACGACTCGAACCCACCCCGGCCACGGACGACTCGAACCCACCCCCGTCACGGACGACCCGAACCCACCCCTGCCACGGACGACTCGAACTCACCCCCGTCACGGACGACTCGAACCCACCCCCGCCACGGATGACTCGAACCCACCCCCGCCACGGACGACTCGAACCCACCCCCGCCACGGATGACTCGAACCCACCCCCGTCACGGACGACTCGAACCCACCCCCGCCACGGAAATCTACATGCATGCGCACGTACACATAAATACACACACATACATGCGTGCCTCTATGCACGTTTTTTGTTGAGGCCGTATGTACACATGCGGGCGCATGTGCATGTATATTGGCCAGGCACCTGTGCGTATTAAGGTGACGACTCCGCCCTGGCTTGGTTTTGCAGCTTGTCATGGATCAGTACTTCTCAGCTGGGCCATTCCCGCCGCTCAAAATACCGCCGGTACAAACACAAACAGAGCGGGAGAGGTGCAGCGGAGGGTCGCGGTGGAAATAGCCGGGGGAGGGAACCAACACCCGCGCCACCCCTAGGGAGGGGCGCCGAACGCCCGATGCCCGCAGGCTCACGCGTTTGTTTTGGGCACCGTCTGCGGAGAAGCCGGCCGACCCGGCGCCACGCGGACGTCGGGCCTGGAGTCGCGCGACGGAGCGCGGTGCCTTTGGTGGCGTCCCCCCGCCGGCGGCCTCGCAGCGGCAGCAGGCTGCCGACGGGCCCGCGGGTCGGCGAGCCCGCGCCGTCGCCGACACCGGAGCCGACACGACAGAACCCGAGCGGAGGAGCGGCGCGGGGCTGGCGGCCGGACTCCCGCCGGCCCGTCCCCTCCGCCTCTCTTCCCGCTCCTCCCTTCCTCATTCCCACGGGCCGGCGTCGGGCGCGGCCCCGAGAGGGGTCAGATCCATCACGGGCGGTGACGCGCCGTCATGAAGTCGTCACCTCCAGCCGGCGTGGCGGGACGGACACGGGCGGGGCCGGCGCGCCGCCGGACCGCCGGTGTCCGGTGTCGCCCCACCCCGCTCTCACGGCGGCGCGCTCACACGGGTATCGGCGGGCGCCGCGGCACGCAGACGAGCCGCAACTCACAACAAACCGGCCGAGAAGTCGACCGCACTCAGACTCGCCTCGCCCGGCCGCTGTCGCCGCAGTGGGGTAAACAGGCCGGAGAGGACCCTCCGCCCCGCGGCCCCGCTGACCACCCAGCACTAAACGACCCAGTTCGGCTCAGGAATTCTGGGGAGTGAGCCGGGCGGATGCCGCGCGTTTCAAAAGGGGACAGAACACAAGTGTGCTCTGAGGCGGCCCAGGACGCCCTGACCCAGAGCTGGATGCTTTGTGAAGCACTGAAAGCGCCGCCTTCTCCAGTCCAGTTTCAGGCCTTCTCACTGCGAATCACTGATGCAGCGGATCGTTAGGACCGGCAGCGATGAGAACGGAACCAACTCCACGAAGTATCGGCTAATGACTGTAAAATCCAAGACCCCTCAAGCCGGCTCGCCAAGCCCGGAACGCTTAAAAAAAGGAAAACAAAAGTTTGAAAGTTCTGCAGACAAATCACAGCAACACCACCTCGCATGACCGCAAACTCAGTCGTCCCCAAGCAGTGCATTCAACGAATGAAGTGCCTCCTTTAAACAGAACAGCTCTCGACCCACACAAAGTTCAGTCGATGATGATCTATGCTCAGAGTCGGCGGTAGCCAGTGTGCAGTGTAGACCAGTGCCGGCCAAAACGCTTCGGGCAGCGTCGAAGTGCGCGTGGACCAACCCATTGGAGCGTGGGGGACCCAACGTATTTCAGATATCCTGCCAGCCATAAGGAGAAAACACCGGAAAGCCCGGAAACTCTCGCAGTGGGATCATCCAAGCGCTCCCCACAACACTGTCTGATTGTATTAAAGAGTATCCGAGCGTCATTTCAAGACTGCCCGGGTGTTCCTCGAGAAGACTGCCCGACTGTTCCATCGCAAGACTGCCCGAGCGTTTCGCCACAAGACCGCCCGACTGTTCCACCACAAGACTGCCCGACTGTCGTTCAATCGCAAGATTGCCCGAGCGTTTCATCACAAGACTGCCCGAGCGCGCCACCACGTACACAGCACGTTGCTCGGCCCGGACGGCGCCCAGGTTGGTGCTCCGTGGCGGCCGACACCTCCGGGGCGCCGCGGCGTGCCGCCCCACACGTGCAGGGCGCCGCCAAAACACGAGCCCTGGCAAAAACGGCCACCGCAGCGCCGCCGACGGCAGAGCGGCAAGCAATTTTTCAGGCGCGCTCGACAAACAGCGCTGGATCTCAGGCGTATCGCGTTTCAATCCGGTGACGGCTCCGGCGGCGGGACGCTGGACAAAAACGGCGTCAGCTCGACCGGCGGTCCGGCGGCGACCGACCCCCCACGACCGGCGGGTCCGCCCTCGACCCTGGCACGTGGATGCCGGCCCGTCGGCGGCGATGTTGGCCAATGGCCCCACGCTCCAAAGGTCGGTCCGTGCGCACTTCGACGCGCCCGAAGCGATTTGGCCGACACTGGTCTACACTGCACGTTGCCTACTAACGACTCTGAGCATAGATCATCATCAACTGAACTTTGTGTGGGTCGAGAGCTACTCTGTTCAAAGGACGGCACTCCATCGCCTACTCCGAACTAGCCGGGCGGAGCCGCGTCACAGCGCACGCAGTTCAGGAGGCAGTACGTGGCCAGAGCTCGGGTTTCTTGTCCGTCACTGGCCGCCGAGTTCTCCGCCGCTTGAACCCTTGTGACGGCCGCAACCCACGCCGCCAGAGCGGGTCTCCAAGATTCAAATGAATGGCCTCGCGGACCCAGTCTTGCCATCTTGATTGGATCACACATTCCGCGGCGGACTTGCTTTTTCTGGCGGCTACACGTTTTTGTCGGCTCGTGCTTGCACCCTCGCGCCTAAGGGCGGTCTCACCAGCCAAACTGGTCAGCGGTGGTTCATGCAGCACCGGTGGCCTGTAGTCACGGAAGGGTGGCCGAAGGGAACTGCACCCGGCCCGTGGCGTGAATGGCAGCTCATGGGGAAATACAGGATTCACATGCGAAGGCTGTCAGCTGTTGCTGTAAGGCTGAAAAGAAAATGCGTGTTACATGAAGTGCTGGATGTAATTTTTGCAGTTAAAGCGTTGATTTCAGCCTGAATTATGCCTCTACACCGTAGTTTCAGAGCCTTTCTCGTCTCTTTATGCCCTTGTCACAGCAGCCGAGAAAACAGAGGTCAGTGACCTGGGGCGGGGACCATTTCGGCGACAGCTCTTCAAGGCCTGGCTTTCTGGGCGGGTGGGGCGTGTCAGGCGCTCACGCCGACACTGACCCGTCAGCCCCAGATAGCCCACCTCTTCCGCACACAAAGGAAGACGCGGCCCGCACAAAGGCTCGGCGGCCGGCGACACGGGAGAAGGGTCAACCGCGCGGGGTGAGCGGCGCGGTAATCTCCGGCGCCGGTCGAGGCCGGGGCGCTCGTAGCGTGGTCCGAGCCCTCCACGAGCTGGCCTAACTCAGGCGCGGGAATCTGGCCGCAGCGCCCACCCTGAAGGGGCCTCCGCGTCTCACCAGCATCGGCGGCTCCGGGGACGGCGGGCGCGCGGGGCGCCCTTGGTCGGGCCCGACCGACTCAGAAGGGGCACGGCACGGGAGAGGGCGACGAGGGTAATTGGGGGCGGCCGGCCCTAGCTGCCTGTTGTCGCCCGCTCGACCCGTCCAATATTGGCGGCATTCTTCAGGGGCTCCTCGGGGAGGGTGCGCCGTCGCCCGGCCGGCCGACCGCCGCCTTTTTACGCGCCAAGTTCAAGGGCGGCGGACACAGGTCGTTGACAACGACACAGAGGGCGGCGAGGCGCGCTGGTGTCCCCAGCAGGACTCGCAGCTCCAAATCACCATTCGTAGACGGATGGCAGCCAATCACGACCACATTAGTCGGCGCCGGAACGCGACGCGGACTGATGAGGCGGCGTTGGTTGACGCTTTCGCTCCCTCTCCCTCCCCACAGCAGCAGGTGTCGCTTGTTGTCACAGGCGCAGCCAGACGAGCGGAGCCTTTCCGAGTGAAATGTTTCGACATGGCGGCGGCGGGCTGTGCGACACGGCAGACAGCCAATTTGTGAGCTGTGTACACGCCTCCGTGTTTGATTTGCGGCGGGTCCGGGGTTAGGCCCGGAGTGCGGGGCGCCTCGACACCCATCGATCGATGCTCGGTCTGCTGTCAGATCCTGACAGCGGGCCGACATGCCGCCGAGTCAGCTCTGTTGCCAGCCGCGCCAGTCTCTCCAGAGACACCAGCGGAACTGGGCCGACGACCGCCGGGTCAGCTCTGTTGCCAGCCCCGCCAGTCTCTCCAGAGATGCCAGCGGAGCTGAGCCGACGGCCGCCGAGTCAGCTCTGTTGCCAGCCCCGCCAGTCTCTCCAGAGACAGACACCAGCGGAGCTGGGCCGATGGCCGCCGAGTCAGCTCTGTTGCCAGCCCCGCCAGTCTCTCCAGAGACGCCAGCGGAGCTGGGCCGGCGGCCGCCGAGTCAGCTCTGTTGCCAGCCCCGCCAGTCTCTCCAGAGACAGACACCAGCGGAACTGGGCCGACGGCCGCCGGGTCAGCTCTGTTGCCAGCCCCGCCAGTCTCTCCAGAGACGCCAGCGGAGCTGGGCCGGCGGCCGCCGAGTCAGCTCTGTTGCCAACCGGTGTTGTGGTTCAGCTGCACGTCTGGGAAGCCAGAGGTACCGGGTTCGATTCGCCGCGGTGCATGCCCGTCCTGCCTAGGCCAGAGGCAGGCGACACGATGAACCCTCAGCAGCAGTGCGTCGCAAAGCCTCCAGTGACGGCTTGCTTCAGTCTCTGCACGCAGAGAAACGAACAGAGCGCAGAACTGACGCCGAAAGAACGGCGCGCGCTCATGCCACTGGGGCGGGAAGAACGAAGCCTGGTGAGTCTACGATGGACTATGGCAGAACTAAAATGAAGACTGTAAGAGCCCCACGCTTTCAATAAAAAAAACTGTTATTCTGACGCGCGGGATACCATGGCACGGAAGTGAGTCGACATCCGGTGACAGTCTGCAACACGCAGCTGGAACAGACTTGCAGACACCAGCTGAGGGCCGGGTGTGTCAGGACAAGCGGAGACCGGAGGCCCGGCCAAGGAGCAGCCCCAGCCGCGGACGTGCATGCGAATGACGACTCTGGACTAAGTCAACTCAGTCGACGCAGTCCTCGTTACATTCTGCATCGGCTGCCGGTAAACCCCCATCGCTCCCGTCCTTCTGAGCTGGCGCGTGCCGAGCATGCCACCGACGGACTGCCGGCGCGACTGGACACCGCAGCTCGCCAGGAATCTGGCGGCGTGGCCGGCGCATGGCAGCCCCACCGCCCCGGTGGCCAGCATGGGTTATTCATGACCGCGGCCGGCGACACGGATCCCACCTACGGACGGGACATTTGTGGACCGTAAGCCCGACCCGGGGCGCACCCCTCCGCTGCAAGCGGCCGGCCGCGCATTCATTCGGCGCACAGCTGCACCCAGCACGCCTCCTCCGAGCGCGTAACGAGCTCCACCGTCAGCTCCAGCATGCACACACCTCTCCCCGAGCCGTGATGGCATGTATTGGTACGCAGCGGCTCAGTGGGCCAGACCTCGCCTGGCAGCCCGCTCAGCGAGCTCCCGGCGAGCACCAGCCGGTGACGAGAGCACATGCCGAAAGGAGCCCGCGCGTCACAAACCGGCCGCTCGGCCCGGCCGGCGGACGGCGGGCAGAGGCGCTCTCAGAGGTGAAACTGGCCACTGGGAGCGGTTGGCCTGAGTGCGAGGGCGCTGTCCGTGGTTCCGCGTCGTGCCACCCACAAGGCCGTGCTGCGCGAGTGGCCAGACACGCGCCGCCAGTGAGCTGAGACTCCGGTCCTGGCGGCGACCGTTACCAGGCCACGTGCGCTCGTGCGATAAATTCCGCAATTACGCCCATCAAGCCAGGGTTCAGCGGTCCCCGCACAAAAGCGGCGCGAACTCACGGCCGACGTGTAATTGGACCACTCGCACCGCAAAGTTTGATGCTGGTGTGCACGACGTAAAGTGTTCCACAAACGTCAAGACGTTGCGCGTTTGCCTGTTTAACGTCGGCCGCATAGTTGATTAATTGCGGTGATGTAGGCTCCACTGCGTAGCGCACGCAAGGGCAAAAATGGGCCAGCCCATTTCTGCGGGCGGCTTGGCATTTCACGATTGCGTGCAGAGCGAACACCGCAGACAGCGAGAAGAGGAAGGCATTTAAAAATCATATGGTAGGTGGCCGCAGACGCGGAACAAGTTGTGACGTCACATGACGAAAGACTCCAGCACTCACCGGTGCCGGCCAAAACGCGTGCATCGCGGGATCAAGTCAGACGGCGGCTCGTACTGCGCTCTCTAGGTCGCATGACCATTTGACCTGTCACGGGGCCTGGTGACGGGCGGCCCGGCAGGCCCGGCTGGCGCCACGCTGCCCACCAGCTGGCGCCGAGGCGGCAGGCTGTGACCTTTGGCCGCCCCCGCGCAGTAACTGGCGCAGCTAAATCGGCAAAAACGGCGCGGACAGGAGCCACTTCAGTGTTGACGTCGGTCATCCGTCATCGGCGGGGGTCCTAATCGTTTAAACGTCCAGTCTAGCAGGAAGAAGATCCTGACCTAACCAGCTGAGACCATGCAGCTGGAAAAACAGCAAAATTAATGGTTCATTGAAGCCGGATAAGACCCCCGGAGCAGACGACAGGTCTCAATTAGTTATCGGTCTTCAGGATATAGCCGCCAATTTTCCATACGTCACCTGCCCACCCCAGACCAATTTCGGGCGTAGAATGGCCGATTCGTAACGGAGACCCTGCCAGTCTCACAAAAACAAAACAGCTTCCAGAAATAGCCCAGCCGGGCTGAGGGGTTCGAGAAAAGGGTGAGAAAGGGCGGGGAAGACGGCGGCTTCGAGAACAAAACTTCCCGACGTTTCTCCGGCACGCAACAACCAATGAAGTCGCCGTAAAATGGTCCAGCCGAGCCCACCATGTGGCGCATTTGGGCCGCCGGCCGGTACGGTGGGGACGAGGTCCCGGTATTCCGGCTTGGGGTCTGCCCCAGTCTGACGTAGCGCTGTCGCACGCGCAGGCATGAGCAACGCGTTATCGAGTTTTACTTTCCTTGAGACTTAACCCACACACCCATACAAATTTTTAGACCAGTTTCTCTGCTAATATCTATTCAACATGCCGGTTTTCGCGGCACATCAAAAAAGTAATTGTCACCGGTACGCCGGAGGAAGAAAAGACGATGAATTTGTACTTAAATGCCACACTAGGGCATCACAGCAAATACGTGCAATCAGCATATTCACATGAGCCTTGATGTTCACAGCTCCCGCATCATCAAGGCGTCCATAGCCATGACCTCTGCGTGACCCTGAGTGACCGTGACCTGTGACCTAAGCTGACTTACGCAGTAGTGTGACCTCCCCGACCTGTGCTGCGCCCAGAGACCGATACGTGACCCTGACCGAGCTATTTTCGACGCGGCTGTGGTCAGTACATGACTCAGACTGACCTGTGCTGCACATGACGATGAAGGTCTGTGCCTGTCTCCGCACGTCAGGTATTCTGGAGGGCGGCAGGTACCGCTCGAGAGACAGCCGATGGAGCAGCGGGTCCAGGAAATCGTGTGACGTCACAGCGTTGATCTCCCACCGCAGCCGGTGGAGCACCAACAGCTCCCAGTCCTGCAACAGGTCAGGTCAGGTCAGGCCAGATCAGAAACTGTCGATGGCTGGGTGCGTATAAGGTGGCATGATCATATGCGGTCTGAGTCAGAAACAGTCAGGTCAGACCAGTCCGGACCAGCACAGCCGCCAGCCGGGGCAGGGCGTAGGCTGTGTCGCAGTCGCAGCGCGCGGCGGGGGGCGCCGCTGCAGTAGCGTCGGCAGACAGCCACCACGCGTCGGCGCCCGCCGACAGCTGCGGCGCCGCCGGCCGCCAGACAGACGTGACGTCACGGGCCCATGTGTTCCGTGACCTTTCGTGTCGGCCGGCGCGCGCCGGTGGCGGCGGCGGCGGCGGGCGACACGTTGAGCCTAGCTACCCGCGGCGCCGCCGAGCGTGCTGGCGCGCGCAGAGGACGGACGCTACATTTGTGCCGCACCTCGAAGCGATTTATCGTTTAGAACACGTCTGTTGTCAGTGAAAAACATTATTTGTCAGTGAAGAGCATTTTTGTGAGGAAATAAAAAAAAATTCCCATCTCGCTAATCGGGGAAAGGTGTTCGGAGAAGCGAGAGAGAGAGAGAGAGAGAGAGAGAGAGAGAGAGAGAGAGGGCGGGAATCAACGAAATAATGATGCAATGCACGAATCGATGCGTTCCCGCTGCAACATAGGTAGGCTTCTAAACATGCGGAGTGTGGTGGAGCACCCCACAGCTACCGCGCACGCTAGCACCACCCTCCCTGTCCCTGTTGCTGGGCCGCCGCCCGCGCCGCGCTGGTGCAGCCTCGGCGTCGAGCGGAGGTCGGCCACGGAGCCCAGCTGGGCCAGAGCTTCCGACGCGCGTCGCCGTCCGCCGCGCCGCCGCACGCAGCGTCCGACCCGGGCCGGTATGGCCGCCGCCGACCACAGGCTGCCGGACGCGACTGGGTCGGCGCTGCACCGCGGCAGGTCCCGGGGCCAGGCGGCCGCAGAGCGGACGGGCCCGCCGGCCCGAGAGCCGGCCGACTGCCGGCAGCGGCGGCAGGAGGGACCGGGCGCGACGGCGTTGTCAGGGGAACCGGGCTCCGGCAGGGGCTGTCCTGTCACCAGACGGTGGTCAGTGACTCGGCAGTCACGCGCAGTCACCCGTCACCCGTCACGACAGGCACCCGTCACCCGTCACGTCGGCCAGGGAGAGGGCCGCCGGCAGGCCGCCACCCGCCGCGTTTCATTACGCCCGGTTCCCATAAACAGGTGCCTGCTGTTAATCCCATCGAGGGATTGTCCGACATGAGATGGTCCCGGGAGGGCGTGACGACGTGGACTGTGTCCGGCGACGCGCTGACAGTGACAACCCAGAGTGGACGCCGTCACGCGGTAACGTGACGTCACACAAAGCATGCCCGTGGAACGGAGGGTGACGGACTGAGAAGAGAACTGATGGATGGAAAACCAGAAGTCTGTAAAGAGCAGCTTAAAAATAGAGCGCAAGCTGTTAACAAAATCGATCTTTACCGACTTTCTGAAAGTCCAGCCGGCTGTAATAGCTTCCCTTGTAAATGAATCGCCAAACATAAAGTATTTGAGCAATACATGAATGACCAAGCACGAACAACATTAGATAGCAATGCTTGGTGATGGCCGCTGAATGTTCATAATAAAAAAACGCACACCAATGCTTTCAGCGAAAACCTACGGCTGGTGTCCATACTTCCGTGTTAACCAATTTTCTAACACCAAGGGGCATCCCCAGTCTAATTAGTATGTGTTCTCGTGTGCTGATCTTAGGAGGCCGTGCATATGGAATGGATATCGCCAGTCGTGAACGATAGTAAGTATATAGAGCAGCGAGAAGCAAACCGGTGCTGTTCAGCCTCTAATGCACTATAAGGAGAGATGATTGGCTCATTACCTTCATCACTTCTACCAGCCACCTTAATCGTTTCTGAAGAACCACCATGTGATGGTTCTAGCAGCAGCACGGAAATAACAGAGGGTTCATTGCACCACCACTTCGACTGAACCGCCGGTGAACGGCATCAGCAGCTCCACAGGGACAGGATCGCCCCCCTTCCATGCCTCGTCCAATCGATATCTCCGGCGGCGGTCTCTTGAAGCGGACGGTCGTTGACGCGCCAGGTATGTCGCTACCGCGCCGCTACCGCGCCAGGCTCGTGTGATGTCGAACGCTTGTAATTGGGGCGTGGTTAGCAAGTGGTCTTTTATTAGACATCCATTCATTCTCGAGAGGGAAAGCCGAGCCCCGGTCACAATAAACAAAACCGCGCAGGAAGCGATGCCGTAAAACGGACGCCTGTTTATTTCGTGTCGTAAAGGTGGCAGTCCAAATGGCAGTCCGGCCGATTAGGAGGAACCTTGAGGAAAGCACCGAACTCTTTTCGTGGCGGGCTGGGCGTCCCTGGCGTCAGTTCGACACTCGTGATGAGAGGGGCTGCGAGGGATGCAACGAGGCGGGGGATCTGCTCAACTCTCGCAGTACCATTCTCTCGCAACTCTCGCAGCACAGCACCGCCGACGCCGACACCACTTATAACTGTCAGAGCTCGAGCTGGGGCCATGCTATTACGCATTTTGATGAAAGTTGGCCAAGATCGGCGCCCTTTCACAAGCCGACGCCCGTGGCGGCGACGCGTCAAGTCTGGAGAGATACGAAGCTTTCGTCCGTGTGGGAAGTGAGGCGCTGGTAGGAGGGTGAAGAACGTAACGTGAAGAGAAAATGCGCATCTCAGATCCATACCAGCAACAAATCGAGCTGCGCTGAAGAAAGCAAACTTTTGACGAAACCACACAGTACAGAAGTGAAAACAGTGAAACCAGAAAATGTGTCGTTAATGTTTGGGTTAAATTCATGGGAGATTACGGCATGCTCTCCTCATGCGGTCGGAAGATTTCGATTCATTAACACCTTCCTCTTGTGTCGCATCAATTTTGTAATTATGGCCTTAGCATATCTTATCGTGCACGGTAGAGGTGTCGACATTGCGGCAGCGCTATAGGCCCCGGCACTACTACCGAAGGCAAGCGCGAAAGTGGCAGTATTTCACTTTTCGACTTGTTGGGGGGCGTTTTTTTAGCCGGATTGTTTTGCTGGTTCTAGGCAAATAACATTTCGTGTTTGTTACACGAAACCGTGTGTTGAGGGTTTGTAAACTAAAGATATCCAAGGATTTCGATTACCTCGACAAAAAGTTTTCATCAGGGTACGTGTCAACTCAATGCGGTAACAAAGAAACATTGTCTTACACCATTCGTCATGCGAGTGCTGCCCATGCCACAACCTGGGTTCCATAAAAGAGCCACATTCATTCTCACGCGATAGAGCACAGCAACGCAGCAAAATCACACCTGAAAAGGCAGCAGCAAAAAGTGGCGCATTTGCGTTCGCCAGCGGGTGGTCGTGCCATGATATCATCAGCTGATCGTGTCATGCTTCACCTGTCTCGCATGTGAATCACGCCTCGTTCGGGCGGCAGGACGGGGTGGTACGGCGGGACGGGGTGGTGCGGGGGGACGGGGTGGTACAGAAGACGTAGTGGCGCGGCAGGACGGGGCGGTGCCGCGGGACGGGGTGGTGCGGGGACATGGTGGTGCGGCAGGAAGGTGTGGTGTGGCGGGACGTGGTGGTGCGGGGGATGGGACGATGCTGGGGGACGGGGTGGTGCAGGAGACAGAATGGTGCGGAGACCCCACAGGCGGTTACATGACCGGTCAGGACGACGGCAAAGGGTGCGCCGGGATCACACACACACCCGGCGCTCGTGGCGTCTATACCGAAAGGCGGCTGACGGACAGACCAACAGCGGCCGCCGACCGCGCCGACTTCGGGTGGGGTCCGGGGGAGGGGGGGGGGGGGGGGGGGGGGGGGGGCGGGTGGCCTTGGTGGTGGCGCCGCCTTCCCCAGCTCACTCGGAGGAGGTCCCACCTCCCGGAACTGCGGCGAGCAGCCCTCCTCTGAGGAGCTCAGTGGACTGTGTCAGACCACGTGTCAGCTCTCCTGGCCAGTCTGTCCCGTGGCGGTCACGCTACAGAGAGCGGCACGATGTGTATCGGCCTTCGCTGCCCAGACCGGAGCATCATCACCGCTTATCCTCAGCCTCCCTCAGACGATGGTGCCTTTCTACAGCTCGTCAGTACCACAACCCACCACGCTGTCTGCACCAGCTCTCCCCCCCCCCCGCCCCCCGAGCTGGACCACTTCCGCCGGCGTGTTGAACAACACTGTGCTGGTATGTGTCGGTGTACCATTCAAACACTGGCCACACACAGAGACACACACACACACACACACACACACACACACACACACACACACACACACACACACACACACACACACACACACACACACACACACACACACACACACACACACACACACACACACACACACGCACGCACGCACGCACGCACGCACCACGCACGCACGCGCACACGCACGCACACACACACACACACACACACGCCTACACACACACACACACACACACACACACACACACACACACACACACACACACACACACACACACACACACACACACACACACACACACACACACACACACACACACACACACACACACACACACACACACACACACACACACACACACACACACACACACACACACACACACACACACACACACACACACACACACACACACACACACACACACACACACACACACACACACACACACACACACACACACACACACACACACACACACACACACACACACACACACACACACACACACACACACACACACACACACACACACACACACACACACACACACACACACACACACACACACACACACACACACACACACACACACACACACACACACACACACACACACACACACACACACACACACACACACACACACACACACACACACACACACACACACACACACACACACACACACACACACACACACACACACACTCACACACTCACACACACACACATACAAACAAACACACACACATCCACACACACACACACATATGCGGGTAGTGAGACCAGCTCGTTTGCCCGGCTCGAGCGGGAGGGAATGCCGCCGAGCCGGACAAAAATCGGCGGCCGTGAACCTGACGGCCGTGATTCAGGACCTCCATACAGAAGGACCTGTATCAGATGAGGTACGAGCTCCGGGTACTCGGCGCCAGGGCCGACCCCGAGACGGCCGAGCGCTTTAAAGTTTAAATAGCGTTCACTCCATCCAATGTGCAGGGGAGAGGCGCGTCGAAGTCCTTTCCGCTTGGCGGTCCAAGGTTGGACAGAAGGTCAACCCGCGGTGCTCACGCAAGCTTCCGGACGTCTGGAAATCGTGAGAACCAGCCCGAGCCGACGCCTAACGCCGCGCCCACCGCGCACGCTCCTCTCGCGCGGAACGACACGGGCGTACGCTCCTGAGAGACGGCGCGACGAAAGTCCGCCTCTCGGCAAGCGTCTGGCTTTGGGGGGCGGCCAAACTGCAGGTGCCGGCCATGACATGGCGAACGTGCGCCGGGCTCAACGTCCGCCAAACACGCGTGGATTTCCGGCGCGGGCACATGTGGCGCGGGCCAGCCGCCGCCGCCGCTGCGGAGCCCTTGTCATGACCGGCCGCCCATTCATTCGGCCAGACGTCCCGTCCGATTGTTTATCGTGGCCTGAGGGTGACCTTGCAGAGGCGGCGCGGCGCTGGGGCCGGGAGCAGGCGCAGGCCGGAGGCGTTGTGCGGTCAGTGGCAGACCGCAGACCAGAGGAGCCTCACTGACCCCAGACCACGGACAGATAGCAGGCCAGAGCCGCCCGCCTGACCATGGTTCGGGAGCTGACTGGCAGTGAACCAGCTAGTCCGGAGAATCAGGAGCGTTCGCCGAGGCGTAGAATCCAGGAAGCAGGCGATAGAAAGGATGTTGACTTCTTCACAAGCCATGCCATTTTATCCCAGCTGCATCACCCAAGCACCATTTGCCTCATTTGAAAACGAGGCGCGATTTGACCCAGCCGCTGCCCTGTAACGGCACCTCGATCGGGCCGATTCGGTCGGGGAAGCTGGGACCTCTCCAACGATTCACGACCCGCGTCAGCCCCAGGCGACGGAGGGCGCGCCGGTCACTGGCCCCGATCAGCTGCGACGGAAGTGTCTGGCTTGTGTCGAGGTCCAGCTGTCTGCGGCCCGTCTCACCGTCTCGAGGCCAGTGGGAACGGCAGGGCAGAGCAGCGCTGGCGCGCCCAGACCCAGCTCCGGGACCTGGCGCAGCACAGAGCTCTCCAGAGCTGGCGCGCCCAGACCCAGCTCTGGGACCTGGCGCAGCACAGAGCTCTCCAGCGCTGGCGCGCCCAGACCCAGCTCCAGGACCTGGCGCAGCACAGAGCTCTCCAGCGCTCACGCGCCTGCCCCCGGCTCTGGGACCTGGCGCGGCACAGAGCTCTCCAACGCTGGCGCGCCCGCACCCAGTTCCGGGACCCGGCGCGGCACAGAGCTCTCCCGCGCTGGCGTCCCGCACACAGCTCCGGGACCTGGCGCAGCACAGATCTCTACAGCTTTTGGACTGTGGAACGTGGACTATTGGGTGCGCTCCATGTGTGGGCATCCAGCACCCAGACACAGTGGGGTGCCGGCCTGGTCGGGTGCGGGCCAGTGGCGCTGATGGTTAGCGAGATTAAGCTATGACGCTCGAGGCCTGGAGTGGAACGGCTGGCCGGCTGGGGTGATAGGTTGTCTTAGGTCACATCAATGTTGCGCGGTATCGGCTGCCGTGGGTGCCTGTCAGAGCGCCATACGGCGGACGCCTAGGGGAGCCCGTCCTGGCTGGGGAAGCCGGTGGGGCTCTACGCCTGCAATACCGATCACGCGCGTCCGCCAAACCGGGCGTGGTGCCGCCTTCAGCCTGCGTCGTCTCTGGCAGATCACCTGAGCTCGGGGTGTGCCCGGCTACGCCGCCTGAACCGCCTGGCCGGGACGCGCGTCTGTCCAATGTGAGGCCCTTCAGGCTGACACGAGAGACCGACAGGCGGTCCGCCCACACGGACCCGGCGGCAGCTTCCTCTGGCTGCCGCGATAAGGCGGCCCGCCGGCTGCCGCGGCGCAGGCGGAGGGGTGGCGCCAGCAGACAAACACACCCCAGTCTGGGGCTCCACCTGCCGCGCGCTGCTGCTATCTCGGATACCGAGGCGACGAAGCCGGCACAGCCTCCCGCAATTTGCACAGCGGCTTCATGTCGGTAGGCAAGATAGCACAGATAGACAAAAAGAGCTATGACGCGGCGGGCGCCCCACAAGCATGCTCCCTTTAACAGAAGCTTCTCGAGTCCGCTTAGTATTCGTCACTAGTCAGCGTCGAGGCAAAGAGACTCTAAACAGCGTGGGGCCATCCATTTAACGTTGTCATTTGATTGCGTTTCTCCTAACCCAGAAGTCTCTACAGATGCGTATTCAGCCGGCGCTGTGAGCGGCGCTCAAAAGGGCTCTTGACAGGCGCCGGCTGAAGGAGGGCATCATTGTTCCGGGGCCGGTCCTGTGTGGCCTCCTGAGAGGAGACGCACCGCGGTCCGCGGATACCCAAGGGTCCAGTGTGACCGACGCAGACCCAGGGTGGTCCAACGCCCCAGGACGGCAGGTCTCCAGTTTGTTTTTGCCGTCGAGGAAGCACAGGCATAAGGTGGTTTTTCATCATGAAGTCGCAGAATCGCAACGTTGGGCAGTGCTCCTGGACAAAACCATTGCACCACTTTTATCACGTTGTAAATAGGTCAAAGATGATCTACTGCGGCGCCGCAAACTACCGCAATTAAGGGTGCGGAGATATGGCATTGAAAAAGGAATGCGATGTTCTTATTCAATAACAGCTGTCTTTGCTGCGCTGTCCAACGTATGATAGGTGTCGGATGGCCACATCTTGCGAACCTCTAGAGTGCCTTTCCAAGTTGCCTGTTCTGCACAAATTAAGGCCCTGAGGGTTATAGCAATTTAATTGGTAATCTGCTGAAATAAATTGCCGCAAAATGTGAGGCGACTCCTGTAAGACAATTGTAAGTGTAACAGCCTTGTTCCTCGTCAAAAGACCAGAAAAGTGGAGATACAGATGAGTTTATGTTTCGGCAACATGCGTTTATCGAAACGAACAGCAGGAGCGTAAGGTCTTCCGTTATTCGTTTCGATAAGGGCATATCGCCGAAATGTCAACGCATCTATATTTCCATTCTCCTGATTTTTCTACGAGGAATACGGCTATTTCTACCGTCTTATATATGTCCATAATGCTCCGCGCAAATGCGCTTTTACGCGATTTCTCGAAGTTACAGCACATCAATCAGAACAAAATCCGAGATTGTTACTTAATCCATCCAATCAATCCATTGTCACTAAAACCATCGCTAAAGGTAAACGAGGCAACTGAGATTCATTGATCGTCTGGTGAAGAGATGAGAAAGCAAGCATTCTGGGAGCTAGTTGAGAACGACACCAAGCATGGACTGCGATAAGCCATCGCAGATCGGCTCTCACAGGTCCAGCGTCGTGTTTGTGAAGCGCGCAGTGATAGAAATGTGTGACCGCTACTTCGGTTAGAAGTCAACTGGCGTCAGCTGATGCATTGTTGCGGCGCACGCGCCCATGACGTCGTCTGCACGCCTCGAACAGCCGCATAGCAACACACAGAAACGTAGCGCGCAAGCGACGAACACATGGGTGGGGAAATGAAAGTACGACAAAGGATGCGTTTAAACTGAAATGTAAATAGATACATGATATATATATAAATTATATATGTATAATATACATTATGTGTATATAAATAATACATAAATAGTGTACATAAAGGTACATATTTATGTATAGTAGACAAGCGATTTCAAGCAGAAAGTTATTCTCTACGGAGGGACAGCCGCAGGACATTCGGGTTGGAGACTGCAGGCACGTCGCTAATACTCACGGTTATATTCCGGGCTGCGATACTGTTGTCAGCGCACTGGACCAGGAATTCCACGGTCAACGGACAAGTTTCCCGCAGTTTCGAACTAATGAATAGGCATACCGCCCCCACAAGCTGCAAGTGGTCCTTTTTCACGCTTGTTACACTGAGAAATCTGTCCAGCAAGTTCATGGACAGTGGGAGCACTTCACTTTGGCAGTGTTGCTCTTCGCATACCTGTAAAGCACAAGGTGTTTAGAAAAAGATTCAGAAATTGTGTTTTCCATTCCAAACGCGATTAGTTATTGCCTACGCTGTGTGGGCATAGTCCTCTGTCAGAAGTTGTATATCAAGGGCCGGAACGGCATGAATTCATATTAAAGCTGTTTTATAACAAATTCGAGTTACGTTTCAACAGCCAAAATTCGCAATCGTGGTCGACCATTTGCCCCGAATTAGGCTACCCTGACCTCAACTTAGTCAAACTCTGTAAGCACAGACCATTATACATTTCGGACTACAGCTAAAACACATATATTAAACAAAGGCAACTAACGATTCGCAAAAAGCAAGGTAGCGAATCATGAGAAAAGGTGGTCACGTACCTCTACCATCCAGTATGCTAGAATCCGTCGCATAGGTGGCTTGATTTCTTTCTGGACGCATTTAAAATACGAGATGGACGGCAAGAAGCTATTTTCTGCGTCCAGCAAGTTGGCTAGAACCCGGCGGTCGTTAATCAGGGCCGGGTCACGAATGGCCTTGCAGACCGGTTCCGTCTCAAGCACTCCCGTTTCGCAGCAGAACAGACTGTCGCCTCGGTCGCGCGACATACTTCCAAAAATTTCGCACGCTGAACGTCTCCTAAGTTTGCCGGCGGCTGGTGCACGTAACGAGGCGACGCGCCGGTCTTCGAGCGCCGAGTGCCACGCAGCCGCTCCCGCCAAGACCGAACCCCGCCCCTCGGCCTCCGCGCGCCGAATGCCGACGCGCGCGCCGCACAGCTGATCGGCGCCGCCGCCGCCAGGCAATCAGCTGATTGAGGTCCGTCGCCAGCTGTTCACGCTGGCCGGTTGGTGGGTCGCTGGAGTCGCCGCCGGCCGAGGGGTTTTCGCGTCTCTCGGCAAGATTTAGAAGCGTGACGGACAGCTGGACAGCTGGTAATGGGCGAGACGAGTGCTGCCTCAGACAAGCGGTGGTGGCATATTCACAGAAGATGTCTTCGCAATATTTTGGTACCACCGCAGGAGCGTTGGATGGGTCAAACTACGGGTCCGAGACAGGGGTGAAGTTCCTATACATTAGGCGAGGGGGCCCAAGCTCCCTCTCCTCAGCCTGGGCTCCACAGCCCCCACAACCAATTTTGCAAGGCTTCACGCCTGGCCGGAGATGCTTGAACGAAGCCGGGACTGACAAACACCTCAACTGTGCAGCGTGGGTACCTGATGCCTTTTAACCATTGCACTGTAGCAAAGCAAACAGCAAACCTGGCACTCAGTGGTTTCACTTTCTAAAATCTGTAGGAGCCTGAGCCGATAAGGTAGGCCTAAGCTGGACCAATGCTTGATTTGTCCCCGGATTTCGGACACTTCAGTCTCAACCCCATGCATAATAGCTGTTTTAAGAATATTTCGCCGATCCCAAAAGTGGGGCTCATCACTGTGGGCAGCTGAATGAACAATCGAAGGTCTGCGGCAGTTGCAGGTGTTGCGTGTCCTAGACCACCTAAGGTCCCATCTGGGGCATCTTATGCCTTCACGATTTGATGGATCTGGAATATCTGGTGATTACTGCTGTCGCTGATGTTTGTGTGTTGCAATTCATTTGGCAGCCAAACATCACCACAGTCATGATCACGTGATAAAACGCTTACTACTGTCGAGAGAAGCACAGGCAACTTAAATCTGAGCCACGCTGTACTTTTAAAAGCTGCCGTATATTGCAGTAAATTGCTCTTTATCTCAATCCAGGTGCTGTTGTGTGCAAAACTTATCCCACCTTGGCAGGCTGAGCTACCATACCAACGAGTTGACATGAAAAAACATCAAGTAGCTGCAGGAGGCTTTTTCGTACAACATGGACATAATACTAATCTGTGTCTAGATACTTCGCTTACAAATTGATCAGAGATCTTTCTTGCGTTTCTTTGGCCCACTAATCTCTTTTTGCTCACATGCATTGAGCGGGCTCAGAGGAGTACTGGAGAGGGGGGCGGAGGGCTCATGACAGCATTGCAGGGGCGCAGACATTCCCAAAGTATAAAAAGTGACATCCCTGCTGGTATCAGTGTGCGCACAAGTGGTTTCGAGGCAAAGGAGTTATAGCGGGTGGTTGCATATTATAAGATAACTTGCCTGGTGCACTTTCCAGAACAGACAAAGCGCTTAGCGGCTTTTTAACCCGAAGAACCACAGAAAAGGGAAACACTTTAATTTTTGAGCTACCTCAACCACAGCATCACATATACATACACGTTTAATTAAAAAAACAAAAATATGATGCAACAGTCATCTCTTGTAGAACCTATGTTTAAGGCAAGGCTTTGCCGAAATATTGCGGCACTTAGAGCAAACGGCTTGGGAAAAAAGATACCGTAGAGTGCAGAAGAAGATAAGGTAGTGTGGAGAAGATAGGGCGCAGATATATTTACACATGCATACATATATATATATATATATATATATATATATATATATATACGAAAGAAAGGTTTGGTGTAGGTATGGTGAAGATCGAAAATGTGGTGCAGATGTGGTGGAGAATACACATTGGTGCAGATAAAGTGAAAACAGATTTGGTGCAAATTGGCAAATGAGAGAGATTTGATGAATTTTCTGTGTGCTTTACTCAAAAAAGTTGTTTTTACGTTGGCACCATTTCCTGTACCAATCTCATCACTGTTACGTGGCTGAGGGAAGTTGCGTCACGTCCGCATAAATAGCTGTGGAGAATAACATCTGAAACTCATTTGATTGTTAAGATCCTAGCAAGCAAGAGACAATTATGTTGTACGAAAAGAGAATAGTTTTGACCCTTTGCCCTCACAATCAGCATCTTAACAGGGTTTTGAGATCCTTGCGAGTGACGCTGAACAGCTTACAGCACGAACAGCACAGCTAAAGCCCGTCATGGCACCGGCCGTGTAAACTTCAAATGAAGTGCTGCGTATTGCTATATTGTGGTCACAACAGACGTCAAACATTTCACCAATCTCATCATTCCATTCCTTAAGCTGCGCTGCTTCCAACACATAGGTTGCTAACTGTGAATTTACTTCGGTGTAAACGCGTTGTGTGTAAGACGACAGCAATGGGAGTTGAATGTGTTGGCAATTGAACCAATGCCAAGAAAAGAGGGCATGGCTGAGGGGTGTTTGAAGTAATTTTCCGGTTATGTGCACATGTGCAGCCGAATATGTACTTACAAAAACACCATGTGCAAGAAAGTCGCTCGGCCTCAGCATTCCGAAAAAAATTACTTCATCGAATGGAAAATTGTCTTGCTCAATGCTCAAAACACACAGCATAAGACTTGCTTATCCAGCATAAACGGTACGACACATTCTACATATCCACAAGAGGCTGGAACCATAGTTTTCTTGCAGGAGGTACATTACTTCAAAAATCTGCGAATTTCACTGGTTTTGCCGCTTTCTGGTACCAGCACCAACGTTTTAGCATTTGCGTCATGCGATGTCACTTTAGCCGCTACGATTTAGAAACAGTGCACAAGCCACTATTTCCGCTTTTTACCATTCATTGCAAGATCAGTGACCTGCAAAATGCAACCTTCTGCTTGTTTCAACATACGTAAGTTAAAGATGCCTCGTCATTCGAGTTAAATTGTTGTGCCTGACATTAATGGTATTTGGGAGTCAACTCTAACACGTTTGATGTCTTCTCCGAAATGAATAGCTTATAATGGTAGGCGACCAATCAGTATCCGCAGAAAAAGGAACGCGCACCGTGTACATACGTATCCACCTACTTGTCAAGCCCTCCACGACGCGTAGAAGACAATAGTATTCTGATAAGACAAAATCTGAAAATGGTGACCGAAATATGGGGACCTTTTGCGAGTGAGGACCAAATTCCAGGAAGCACCACAGTGAAGCGATGCTTCAGTGTGGTGCCCCCGCCACAACAAACGCTTCGCTCGTAAAGCAAAGACTTTCTCCCTTGACGAAATCCTGGACTCACCTCCAGTGTATGTGCAGATATTTGCGGCCAAGCTGTTTGAAAAGGCATGATTTTCCTGCAACATTGCAGTGGGACCTTGCAGCAAAGCTGTTTGCACATGAAGCTGTGAGCCAAAACTGATAAGCCCTAGCATACTGTTTGATCCATTTCATACATTCGACTTCGAATTGCTTACCCCGGGCCACTATCAGAGTGTGGAATTAGGGCAAGAGTTCCAGGACCAGAGCAGGCGCGCGACAGCGATATCAATAGCTACGCCACTATCACGCCCAGGACAAATTCGTGCATAAATCGCGTCCCAATGGCACGATATCCTGATAACACGACGTCCTGGTGATACAATGTCCTGATGATACGATGTCCTGATAACACGACGTCCTGATGATGCAATGTCCTGATGATACGATGTCCTGATAACACGACGTCCTGATGATACGATGTCCTGATAACACGACGTCCTGATAACACGACGTCGTCCTGATGATACGATGTCCTAATGATATGATGTCCTGATAACGCGATATCCTGATAATACGATGTCCTGATGAAACAAGCTGAATAGGTATGTCGTGACCTCCCCAATCATCAGCTGACGACGCCGTCCTCGCGTGTTCATGAGTTGTCTGTCTGGCGCCTAGCGTGACTCACTCCAGTTCATGTAACGACTCAGACCAGCCAACACCAACACCCCGTTCACCGTGCAGGGAGGTGGGCGTTCGGTTCAGCGCTGCGGTGAGAGCACGAGCGCGCCACATGCCTCGGGGGGAGGGGAATGGTCTCCGTTTTCAGTCGAGCTTCCGCCTCGGCTTATCGTGACGCTCATGCCCAATGGCGGCTCCAGGTTCATGCCAGTGGCGGATTCAGGCTGATACCGGTGAGGGCTCCAGGCTGACATCAGTGGCGGCTCTAAGCTCATGCCAGTGGCGCCTCCAGGCTCATACCAGTGGCGGCTTCAGGCTCATACCAGTGGCGGTTCCAGGCTAATGTCAGTGGTGGCTCCAGGCCGCTGCGCCCAGTCAGCGGTCTACTTGTCATTAATGTCAGTTTGCGTTCTTATTTAGCCTCTCTAGCTTTGGTGGACCAGAATTGTCTCGCCACTTTGAAATTTGGCGATATTATTCGTCTGAAAGTACAACTCGGGTACATCCACCGGGACACAAACCCTGATCTTTGGGATCGCGGTCCAATATGCTGCACGCGGTTGAGCATATTAGTCCTTGATGCATAATGTTTCGTCACAACTTAAAAATATGGTACTTCTAGTTGCTGAGAACTTTATGGCGGCACGACCAACAGGTTCAAAGGTTACCATCCGAAATGTGTCTTACTGAGCCGAGTCACCTGTGCCAATGAATGTCCGGCTTCTTGACTTTAAAATCGTTTGGTTCGCAGCCTCGCTAGTTATGATAGTCAGAATATGTCTTAACGTTCTGCGATCCTCTCTGCTGGATGGCTTATTTCCAGTCTGCGCGACATCGTTGCGTTGCTCGCACACGCTGGGCATGATGGAGCACTCTTGCGGTGGCTTCCGATGGTACTATTTCTGATTTACCCGAGGTGCTTCCGAGAAGGACCAACTGTGCACATATTTTGCTGCTGTCATAAGCTCACCGTGAAGGTGAATTTGACGCGATGTGTAAAAGTTATTTATCAAACATAATTAGGAATACACGGCCAGAAAACGTGCATACCACGGCCAAACAGTCAGCTAATATTTACTAGTCGCGGCCGCACATCAGCGCATCCACTCAGGACTC